TCGTCATCTCATCAGAACACATCTTCTGTTCTCAAGAGTATGCCTCAAAGTGAATGGCAGGATGCGGTAGGTTTGTGGCAGGTAGCAGCAAACTCAGTAATTGCCGAAGATGGCGCCAATACGGACAAAAACTCTGCTCGTACGCAAGGGCCCGCAACCGGGACCCTCCTTCGCCTCACTTTTGTCCTTTTTGAGGCCAACAACCCGCCGAACCAAAGTATACAGAAGGCGTCCGGCCTTGGAAGATAACTTTCGCGGGCCGGGGAAGACACAAAGTGTATAGCCTGTGCGGCTGCTTACTTTACTGAATGGACCCTTTGTCCCGGACACCCGGACGAAACTGTCCTCGGTGAAGCGAAGTGGGGTTGGCCAAGAAAGCCTGTGGTGAAGCGGGATAGTAACCCGGGATTCGTGGTCGACCGCTCCGGGGAAGATGTCCGGGTCTTCAGGCCGTGTCCGTCCCGGAGACGGTGTGCGGGGGCGCGTATGTTGACGTTGACTAGAGCTAGAGATGGAGCAGGAGTACAGGTCGACGGGAACTCTGACTGAAGTTGATTAATGATGAGTTGGCGTAGTCCACATTGTCCACTTCGTGCGTCGTTGGTCTGACGCCGGTCCGGATTGAGCTAGACGACCGTTGATGGCGCCGGACCCAAAAGAGTCTCCATTCCCATGCTGGGTTATCCCGTGGCCAAAAGCTGTCAAAACCACGGCCGCGGATGGAAGTGATGGCGTGCACATCTTTTGAGACTGGCTTCGGGTGAGTTGATGTTTCGAAACGAGTAAATAGACACGCTGTCCTGCTGAGTACGTAAAAGAATCTAGACCATCGTCTGCATCAAACTCAGAAGAAAACGGGGAGTGGATGAATATGCCATCCACCAATCTCATTACCCCCCACCCCTTCCCCGGCCCTATCTAACACGGCACACGCGGGATCTAGCCAGATCTCTACGCCAAACTTCCCATGGGATCCCACAGCGGCAGCACAGTTGGCTCAGTCCCAATAACCCCGCGGACCTCCTTGCTCAGGAACCGCGGATCAACAACAGCCTGGTAGACAAACTCATCCATCCACGCGTCGCTCATGACGAACCATCCCTTATCGCCCGCGCTCTCGCCCCAGCTATTCTGCACCCTCCACCGCACACTCTCGCCGGTCTCCTCGTCGATGTGCACGGCAGTCAGGACCATGGCGTGCGTCATGGCGCTCTCGCCCGTCCGGAGGCGGCTGGCCTTATCCATGCCCAGCAGGGAGACGTTGAAGCCGAGCTCGTAGTCGATGAGGTCGAGGTCCATCACCCCCGCGGCGGAGTTGCTGAACTTCCCGACGTCGGAGCCGAAGAATACGGGGAGGCCTGCTTTGATCATGGCTACGCAGGCGGATTTGAGGGTGGGCATGGAGACGTTTACGTAGGTTACGCCGCGGCCGCCTACGATGTTGCCGAGGCGGTCGACGGTCAGGAGGGTGAGGGGTTCGTGGCGCGGGTCGTGGACGAGGGAGACCATGGAGTCGATTACGGAGGAGGTGATGCGTAGATCGGAAGAGTAGATGTCGCGGGCGAAGGCCTGGGGCGTTGTTTTGAGGGTGTGCGGTTTGGAGGATTTGTCGAGGTAGGTCCAGGTGAATTCGTCGCGGGGGTTGGGGGGCGGGCCGAGGGCGAGGGTGAGGATGGAGAGGATCTCGCGCATCATTTTCTCTTTTGTCGCCGTGAGGGTCTCTGCTGTAGTTGACGGGGAAGATTGGACGAGCTTGCGGAGGATGAGGGCGTATTCGCGGAGCTTCGTCTTGACGATGGAGTTGAGCACACCAGAGTTCATGGCGTTCCACGAGTCCGGGTACAGCGCCTGCGGGACGAGGCCGTACTTCTGGACGAGGTTGTAGACCATGTCCCACTGCCCGCCATCGCTCACGATATCACCCAGCAGAGCCTGGACGAGGCGTCCGTCGAGGTCTTCGCCCGCGGCGGCGGTGTCGATGATTTGCTCGAGAAAGTAGTTGCTCTTCTCGAGCTTGTCCCAGAAGAAGAGGTAGGACTGGGAGAGCTCGAACGAGTCGAGGGCGTAGCGGCGCATGAGGGCGACGCGGAAGACGTTTGTGGAGGCGAAGAGCCAGCAGCGTCCCGAGGAGCGCTGGTTCGTGATGGGACCGCCTTCAAAGGGGATGCGGGTGTTGAAGATTTGGGGGTCGGCGAGCTTGGTTGCTGTTGAGGTTAGGACTGTGCGGGGGTCTGCTGTGCTCAGGGCCGTGAGGGCGAGTCTATGGAAGACAACGAGTTAGCTTTTTTGTGTTCTGAGATACCTTATCTTGGAGAATGGGGCTTGGTGAGTGTGTACTTGTTCTTTGGGTCGGCGAGGAACCTCGACTGCCAAGACTGCGTCTGCTGGACGGGGAGGCCCTCTGGCTCGCGGACGAGTCTGATGTCTCGCTTCTCGTCATCGCTGCTGCTGGAGGCGACGTTGACGAAGTCGTCGTCGGTTACTTGGAAGCGGCGGAGGCGCTCGAGGAGGGCCTTTTCATTAGAGGCGTCCACGGCGGGTTTGGATGCTTGGGAACCCATCTTGGCTACTCTATCTTGTGTTGCGGACCAGGTCGTAGTCGAGGTTGTGGTTGTGGTTGAGCTTGAAGCCGAATGTGAAGCTACCTCACAAGCAATGTAAGGGAAGCTGAGCGCGGTAAAATGACGGGACGTCACGGATGTTGACGCCTATTGTTGCAGAAGAGAAACACAATCACGCAATCGTTAAAGGTCAGAAAGCTTGGGAGGTAAGACGAGAGCTCAAGTCCAGATCTAACTCCCGATGAAGAAGGCTGGGCTGAGGTTATGCTATTTAAGACAAAGGAGCTGGCAGCACGAGTCGTAGACTAGAAACCCCCGCGACCCCTCACACCAACCATCCTTCGTTCCGATCCGCCTGATACCGAGCAAATGCCACAGAGAAGGGGGTATAGTTGTCTCTCCGGGTTGCTTCGCTTGTGCTTGCTAGTTATCTAGGTAGGGAAGGTCATGAACAAGCTTCCTGGGGTAAAGTTGGGTGTGTGGTGCCCGCACTTGCGCGTCTCTCCTCTCTGTCTCACTCTTTCTCTTATCAGTTGGAGTCGAGTTCGAGAAGGGATGGAGGGGTCGGCGATTGCTCTAACGTGCTTCATGGGGGAAATCCAGCCATACAGCGACGAGGATTTGGGGAACTTTGGGGTTGGGTCGACAGGGATCAGGTGCCCACGAGGGAGCGATTGGAGAGTCACGCACTCGCAGACCGGGGGAATGGGGAACCATCAAGGTGCTTACTCTGATACGGAATGTCGGAGAGAGGACCACATGATGAGGTGGGCTTGAGGGGACTGATTGGGTTATTTGTCGTGTTATTTAGGATTGTGAGTTTTTGAGTGATGGCGACGGTTAATGCGGAAGCACGCCATGAGGATCCACGATTGTCAAGTGCAGAAGCGCTGGTTTACGTGTGCAAATCTGTTAGAAGGAATTCCTCGCCTATTGGACCTGATTTCCTGATGAGCATCGGTTGCTTCCGAATCCTGTTGGGCTTGTGTTTCCAGGTAGATTCCTTGACCTACTCCCTTTTCCCGATGATTGAGAGGTGCTACCTCAACTTTGGCGTACCAACAGCCTTAGACACGTAAAAGGCGGGAGGCAGCAATTGCACTTCTACAAAGTCGGGAAACAGTTCAGGCTCGAACAGGAAACGCGTGCGAGATAAGCCCAGCACCGCAATCGAGTCCAGATTCGTGCGCGGCGATACGGAGGGTCCACTGATGCGGGAGGTCCGGGAGAGGATCGGGAAAAGCGGGGCCGATATACGGTGCCGTTTGAGGCAGCTATCCTGGAAGCTTGCGTTGAACATGAGCTGTTGATCCTTCGATACATCTTATGTACTGCCCTTTGAGCCGGACTTCATCCAAGCATCAAAGTATTAGGCTTCAGTCGGCCAGAGAGTGCGGAGGAAGGTATATGGTAGCTGTAAGGAGACGAGTAAGGTTAGTATAGAACAGGACTTGGGACTTTGACGGAGGTAGAGCATGATATGTCTTTTTTGTAGGAAGAACTAGATCTCCTAACGCGATGGTCAAGAAAGCACGGCGGAGGAGCAGAAGGATAAAGAGGTGCCCAACCTAACTAAGAGGAATTCTCGCTGTGGTGAACAACTACGTCTGTCCCAGCAGTCAAGTCTCTCTGACGAGATGTTTGTAGAAGGCCGCGATATTGAAATGATTCCTGTTCTTTTAGTCCGAGAGACATGGAACGTGGCGACATCACTGAGAGCCATGAATGCTTTTTTCTAATAAAAATGCGACTCAGCACTTGGCCACAGCTATCGTCATTGGGGTGACTCATGTCTCGATATGAGGAAGTCTATACCTTATAATCTCAAAGCCGAGATATTTTCCATACATTTACTACTATTGCATGAACTAGAAAGGGACTGGAGAGTGGTTCGGAGTGACCGTAATGATCGTTTGCTGAGAAGATCGTCTACAACTCATGTCATTCTATTCAAAGAATCCCTTCCTACATTAACACAGATCAAAGTCTAGAATTCAGTTTTCTTTGCACTTTATATTGATGGTTTAGTTTTCGTTTGAACCTCACTTAAATACTGGCTAGTCAACTTGGAGTCTTTTGACCAAGGTAACGACAAGCAGGAAACAATTTCAGAAGCAGCACTACCAGTAGACCAGTGATAATATATGTGTAGAAAACAAAAAACATGACTCAATGGAATGATTCTGATCGCCACGGACATTGGCCTCCCCCGAACCCCCCAGGCATCCAGCATACCCCGCTCAGGTCATGAGCACCATCAAATCAGTCGAACAAGCGCTGCCATACCTTCGAAACCCGACCCATTTCCCCGAAATCTGGTCATGTTGCAATCTTGAACGCATCTTTTGCTTCCTAGGTCTCTATGGCATATTGGTCTTCGAAAAGACTGTTTAACTGCAAATATGACAGTTCTTGTTGCGAGCCGATAATCCCTCATAACTAGGGAGAGCGAAATATGGCTTTCAATCTCTCAACGCTACTAGCAAGCTCAGCGAACGCTACTTCTGTTTTGTCTTTTGCCTCCTCGAGCGCGCCGTCTTCGTCTGTCTGCAAGAGTGCTCTGAGCTCGTCTTGCACTGTATGACTCGCATCAGCATCTGCTGATATCATGCTAGAGACGTTCCAAATTGCGATGACTCACCTTTCTCGAGACTTGCCTTGACGGGTTCCAAGTTTTCCAGTACATCTTCGTTAGAGTTGCGTGAGCCTGCTCGCCGTTCTTCGTATGCAGTTTTGCAAAATTCGAAGAAGATTTTCTGAGTCAGAAGTTTGTTCTTCAAGCTCTCAACATTGATATTCTTTTAAACTTTCTGTTCCTCTGCTTCGAGGAATCTCAGGGTTGCAGTAATGATTGCATCGCATTCACGCATCAGAGTTTGGGCGTCGGTAAGAGGTTGTTTCTGTTGATTAGACGCCATGATTGTGGAAGCAAATGATTTCGATAGTTTTTTTATGGAAGTCAGTCAAGCTGATTGATGAGGGAATTTAACTTATAAATAGGTCTCTACACCAGAGCTCACCCTCATTGCTTTGGTCTAGACATACTTGGCACAAAGAAATCTGTTCACCAGGTTGGCGCCGTCCTTAAGCTGTCTACCAGCTACTCTTGTCATAATCCGAGATAGACGAGCCTGATAGCACCTGCTGATTGTTCGTCGAACCACTTTCGTCCCCCTTTATGTCCATTTAGTGTTATTTTCAGTCATCTGATGGTTCGCCAACTTCAAGGATAGTGCGTGTTTGTGTTTGCCAGTGACCTCAGGGGCGATTTACTGATCCCTTGTACTTCATCAGAGGTCAATCTCACTGTCCGGTAGCAAGAACGACGACTATTGAAACAGTCCTTCCTTAGGAAAAGTGGCTCTAGGTCTGGTAAATCAATTAAATGAATCTGAACAGATGCTGGCAGACGGCCGAGGGGGCGGGAAGGTGGTTGGTGGTGGTTCCTGATTCTCCGAGCGTGAATGATATGTGGCGACTGAAGATACAGAAGATGCAGAAGTGGGCCGCGAAGCACGAAAGACCATGGAAGTTTCCTTGGAGTAAGGAGACCATCGTCTCCGAAAATCATAGCCAGTCACTGGGCCTGCTTCCTGTTGGGAATTCCAGCATGAGATAAGGTAGAGGCTGTCGAAACTGGCCATTGCTACGAGAATTCCATTCATCTCAGCTAATAGTAGGTTACTTTGAGTTAAGGTACTTAGATCCATTACTTTGAGGGTAAGAGGGGAGACCTAGGGTGGTTTATCCCCGACCAACTCGAATGCATCAAGCTAAAGCGCGCTCTGGTGCTTCTCAAGTATATACTCCGGCCAAAGTTGATTATAAGAATCGTTATGCGGAATCAGAATCTCTCTCGCTGTCCCTATCGTCAAGCCCCTTTGACTGTGGATCGGGCAAGGCGCGCCGCTTATCTCGGGAAACCTATGTCTCCGGGTCCGGCTCAGGCATAAACCTCAAGAACTAAGTTGGATTCATAAACAACTGCCGCGACCATTATTCCGCAAATGATCTCTTCGTCATTTGACTCAGAGCGTAGTTAGTCGTCTGAGACCTCTCTCTCGTCCATTTATGTCTCGGAATACTCCTCCAAGGAATTGTATGGTCTTTTGCCGAGCTCATGGCAGTGCTCCTTAGAATCCTGCCCAGGTCTTCTTATCCTTATATTTCATGTTTCTCAACGGTTACGAACTGTAGATTCGCCACCAAGGGCTCTGCCTTTACTTATTTTTTTTTTTTTTTTTTTTGTTCTGCCTTTGCTGGCTGCTCGGGCGATTCTCAGTATCGTTTACACGGTATTAATACACAGTATTAGTGCATACTCTCACTGTCTCGATAGACTATGCCTTTACTTATAAGCGATCTGCTAGCTTGCTTTGAGCATCTCGACCTCCTTCTGCTCTTCGGTATCGACAACGACTGCGGATTCCATTACAATGTTGACATACGAGGTAATCTTGATGTTGATTCGCTTCCTCTCCTCGGATAAAGCTCGAGTGTGTCCACTGCGCCAGGATCCATGGATACGCGGGCAACTTGCGCCTCCATACCCGGCCCCAGCTACAGTCTCGGAGAGAGCTCGTTTGTCGATGCGAGAAATCTCGACTCCGCCAGTGTGTTTTCTTTACGTTTGCTGAGATAATCACGGGAATTCTTCGTCCTGTCTCATTAGTCGTTGTCTCAACTACTTACCCACAGATCAAACTACCTCACAGTCACGAATCGCCTCACGCACTTTAAAATGATAAGGCACTAAGGGGTTATAACTGTGGTTACCTTTTATTTTCTACTTGACCGGCCGTAATTATACGTAAAGTATACGCATTCAATCTTGGATACCAAGCATTAATTATTTGCGGGGTAATAATGAGAGCGTACGGTCGATATAAGGTGTTGAAGTAGACATGCCTTGATGTTAGGTGGCTGACCGCCATCGAAGTTGGCCACCCGGAGAGTCCCTTCGCTGACTTTGATATACTCCATCCAGGCCGCGACCACAGTGTGACGAGCTATGTGACGAGCTGAACAAGTACCGCAACTCTGAGTTTCGAATCACCTTCTTTAAGCCTAGTTGTGTTGGGATACTGGATGCAGTGATCATTTCCCAAGTAGATCGAGATGGCGAATCAGTCTTCGGAGAGTTGGTCGTTGCGAGAGTATAGGACAAGTTGACGTTCAGAATTGGTCAGGAGGTCATTCTCTTCTGAATTGAAAGAGGGAAATAATTTCAGAAGATGGTCCCCAGCACCCACAAGCTTTTTCGACTCTTCAATCGTCTCCTGCGGTGCGGGGTCGCGGAGCCCAAGTTTTAGGAGCTCATTAAACACTATTTTACTCAGATCAGCACTTCTGTAAGCTGGTGACTTTGGAAGTGCTAAAGACTCACCTTTTCGGAGGATTGATGCAAAAAGCTCCAACGCTTTAAGTGCATCATCTACCTTGGGTCCGAATGAACCTATATGTGATAGCTCCCTATCTCGCCATCTCTTGATTCTCTCTTGGATCGCCGGCCAGGATTCAATCGGAGTCCCAGCCGTACTTCTAACTTCGAGAAATGCTACCAAGCCCAACCTGAGCTTGTATATGGTATGAAATTGCTCGCATTCTTCCACCAGTTTTGTTACCGAGTCAATCGGTCTCTCCTGATCCATACTCGCCGCGGATATGGAACGAAGTGATGACGATAGTTGAACTTAGAAAATACGTGTAAATGGGTCAGGCCAGATGCGAAGAAAGCAAGAGTGGCCTATAAGTAGGCCAGAAGACCTCCTCATTGCATCGGCCTGGAGATGCTTCACACAAAGAGACTGTATGAACCTGGCAGCAAGGTGGCAGCACCGATAGAACAGACTGAACCCTCAACGAACCGAACTTTTCTTCTTATCCTTTGTCTACCAAGGTAGGTGTACGTTCAGTCTTTTGGAAATTGGTCGAATCCCAAAACATCCTTGCACTGACCAGAGCCGCCTGTGGCGGTTTCCTAATCCTGTGTCCTTCAACCAAGGGCCAACGTTCACTGTTCAAGAGGTCAAGAGTATGACGAAAATCGAGGCGTAGTTCCCTCAAAGTCATTGCTTCAGAGTTGGTGACTCAGTGGGATGCAGTCGAACAGATGCGGGTACACGATTGAGGGGACGGCTGGTGGTGTACCTGATGATTTGAATCTGAACGTCATGTGGCACTGTCACAAGCACGCGATTAAGAAACCCAGAACATCATAAGAGTTTCCTCCTGGGATATGTAAACCATCGGCCCGAAGACACATTCAAATCACTGTCTCTGCTTTTCGTTTGCAGTCTTACAACAGAAAGAGGCTATGGAGGCTGACTCAATAGCTACCCAGGGTGCATCTTATGGAAGATAAGTTCTTAGGCACCTGTTCAGTGGAAAGCAGGTGAGGTCTGGGGTGTTTGAAGTTTGAATGCCCCTAAGTTCAAAGCGAAAGCGTGTTCTGGCCCTTCTCAAACATCTCTTCTGGCGACACGCATCTTTGGCAACTTTGTCTTGATATAGGCACATCCTTTTCATCGCTCTCAAGAAGCCCTTTTAGTGGTAGGTGGGGCTTGCTTCAGAGGCCGTCCCGGCGAACCCTCACTCCTAGGCTTAGGCCCGATGTGAGCCGGGAGGACTAGGCCGAGCCCGAAAACGACTGCCGTGACCCTACGTGTGGCAAGAGATTCCTCCGGGTTTACTCAAGGCGGCAAATAGCTGTATCGCATTTCCTTTTCGTCATGATATGCATCGGTACCTACTTACTCAGTGAGATGAACTTGCACGGTCTTTGCCGCGCTCATGGTGGTGCTCCTCGTAATGCCCTCCGTAGAACTTCAAGTACTCACCGCTTGTCATTATACTTGCAAGCCATGGTGCTCTGATATTTTCAAAGGAGGAACCGCCGATTTAGGTGCTTCAATCACTCACCTGTCTTCAGCCGTTAGCTACCAGCTACAACCTTATGCCTCGGCCCTTCCGCTCTTCAGAACCGGCAACGATTAGGTATTGGACGTCATGTCAATTTTGAAATTATTGGCACGTACAACTAAAAGAAGATTCCGGGTCAGGCGTCTCTTGCTGTAGCGTTAGGAGGCAGATAAAAGACAAAAGCAAGAGCATGAGGGACGGGATAAGCCAAATCAGTGTACCGCGGCCCGGATCCCACCATTCACGGGAGGTCCGGACCCGCATTCGGGAAAAGCGGGTACACTGTCTCCGACCAACCGGGCTTTTGTTACTTGCTTTCCCGAAAGCTTCAGATGTGTTGAACTCAACATGACTTTCGCTAAGACCAAATAATCATGTAAACGTAAAGTGAATGCTATTTCTAATCATATATGAAGCCACGGGGCGCCATATTATGCCGTGCGAACACGTTCATTCGCCTCAGTGCCCTTAACCCAAGTTACACCAAGAGTATCGTCCAGCGGGATGGCAGGCTTTGGCTCGGGATATGAGCTCGGCGATCTGATGGAAGGTCATGATATCACATACCTCATTACTAGGGGAGGACACCCAAGTTCTTGAAGCACGGTCGCAATATCCGATTTGAGGCTCGAACGATATCCTCGCGACGAAACCTCTCCTCGGGCGCTAAGTGTCGGAGCTACTATTTGCATTTACCTCCTTTCTGTCGTTTGGGAAGAATTTACAGGTAAAAAATCATGATCGCTTGCTGAGAAAGTAGCCTGCAAGTTGTTGCGGCCCGTCTAGCAAGTGCATGCGTTCTCGAGCATCCATTTCCAATGCACATTCTTCTCCTGCTTGGGAGAGAATTGACAATGATTGTTTTGTCTTATTTTCTACTTGTATTCTGCTACTACCATGGCTTTTTCTTCTGAAAAAGATTTCGTGTTCGAAATACTATCGACTCAACGATGAGGTGAGTTGTATGAATGATAAGATCTGTCCAAAACCCTACTGATCCGAATGAACAAGTCGGAAAGTGCCACCATATCTCCTCTAATCACCCACCTTCCGTGTGCTGAGTTTTCGGATGTAGCAGTCTTTCTTCAGGCCGGCGTTCGACATTTGCATTCGTAGCGGTGATTTAGGCCTTGAACTCCTTCACTAAGACTCGTGTGCCTTCCTTACTAAAGGTGACGCCTCTCTCCTTGAGAGACAAAGACCGGTCGGAGTCTTTCTCGAGATCTATTCCAAGATTCCTTCCGATGTTTTGGAGCGATTGATATAACTCTGAATCATGACCCTCTTCTTGAGTAGCGGCGGTGATCATTCGCCTGTTATTGCGATTTCTCAAGAAGATGTCTCTCACTACATTACCTCGGTCAGTAATCATATTCGCACTACTGGTTTGGGATATTGCGATCCGTTACCTTTATGGAGATCTTCTTTGACATCCTCTAGCATTTTTTCCACGCGTCGTTCTTGAGGCTCGCTGAGTCTAGTTCCCGACGTCACCTCCTGCCCTATGCCGAGTGAGCTGCACAGGTTGTTGAGCCTGTTCCTTCGCTCCTCCATAACTGTCCACAAATCTTCATTGGAAGGCTTGGGACAACACTTAGTCATCTGCTCGAAGCTAGTGCTGATATAATAGTCGCACTTTTGCTTCATTCGAGTTGTACGATCGCGGAAAGAAGTTTCTTCCTTGGGTCCAGCAGCAGGTCCCTTGTCCTCGTAAGCTAGTGGAAACATTGTAGAAACGTTAGTGATCAATGATTAGCCTGGGTGGCTGGGAAGGACAGAGCAGCCATTTTAAATTCTAGAACAGGAGATGTTCCTGTCGTTCCTTAACTGGCAAACATTTAGGACAAAGAGGCATGTTAAATAAACGGCCTTGGCCGGCTCACCCTGACGAGCCTATGATGGATAAGTTTGACACCACCAACTGACCATTTAACGGTCCAATTTCATCTTTCTCTTTGTTCACCAAGCGTTGTTCTGAGCAAGGGAAGTAGTCACCGCTTTACCAACATAAGCGAGATGCTTGTTTGAGATCGTCTGCGGCGGTTCTTTTATTCCTTTATGCTTCGGCCCAGAATCCCGGTGCGACGATGACGGTCGGAATGACAGGTGTCTGCAGTCATATGTAACGGTCCTCAATGGGCATAAAGATCTCACAATTACGGAGATCCTAGGGCCACAATCAAATATTCGTACTAAGGAACTGGTGGACTTTCTCAGCCTATTTCAGCCACGACTATACTCCTTGTCCCTTGGCGCCTCGGCTTGACGCGGGCCCGAAAGTTCGAATGGTACGGGGACGCAACAACCTTGGGCCGCTCCAACCTCAACGGTATTACCGGCCATCTGCACGCCCGGATCTTGTGCTACATAATTGCAGTTCAGGATGTATGTTTGGTGATACGTGTGGACGGCTTACAAGGATGCCCTTTCTAGCCAAAGCTCTTCGCGACTAAAGGATCTTATTGCAGGATTAACGTGAAGAGATACGTATATTTCAGAATTCATTCTTACTGAAGGACTATTAGGTACGGAGATATTCGCAGAGGGTGAGCTTTTCTGACAACCTACGTACCTAATTTAGGTGAAGAGGGGATGATGTCACTAGGCTTGGCTGCCAGTTGTGCGCAGTCAATATAGCTAAACTCCGCAGTCAAGTTACGAAAGTTTTTAATAATGATAGTCTTTTTTTTTGTATTTTTGGTTTTCTACTGTTTTTCCTACATTTTCTTCCTGCCTTTCATAACACATAGGGCTATACGCTAAAAGGGAAAAGAAAATACCCCGACGTCATCCAAAGCCACCCGAACTTGCTGAATCAGTCGAAAAGAGCCGCACTCCTCGTAACTGCCCGGCGTCCGTTGACTAGACTCAATAAAAGCCCAATGCTGTACTTACATCTCAAGCAAAAAGCAGTCGCTTCCCAAGTTCGAGGTCAATTTCTTATGCTCGTTGCTCGTTTGGTAAGCCCACCCGCATTGTGGTCGCTCACCATCAATATGAGACCAAGTCCCCGCGATGAAAGATGATGATGACGATTATAATTGATTAGAATCAAGGCAGTTCCGTCTATACGTCTTTCTGCCGGCGGCCGGAACGCGTCTCTTGAAGTGTTGGCTCAGACATGCTGCTCGAACAAAACGCTCCGCAGGTGCGCCTCGCTAAGACGGCGAACGACACCCTTTTCCCATTCTGACGTGAAGTCGGCATACCTGAGCTGGATTTGTAGGAAACGCAGTGGAATCACTGTGAACAACGTCATGCCGAGTCGCGACCGTGGACCAATGCCTGGGGTAGTGTCTCTGGTGCGATCCTGACCGAGTAGCAGAATGGGATCCTTCGAAGTAGCTTTGCCCCATGTCTCGTTTCTAAACTGAAATTCGGGATTTCGTTCGGTCATGCGTTGTACTGCATTACTGAAGTCAGCATTCGAAGCCGTCGACTTCGAGCCGTTGCGATGACTAACCTTCAACGAGATGAGCGTAGAGAGAATCCAAGTCCATCTGCAAGTTTTTCGAAAGGATAGAGTTAAACCTCAAAACGTTGTCGAATATTTCTTTCCCCTCCGACACGTGACCCTCTTCGTCGAAAACACGAATTTCATGACCCCACGCCAAAAACTCCTTCTGAAGCCTCTTAACGGTAGGGGTGAGATCAGGATGATCGTTCTCCCTCAAGATGTTTGCGAACGCTTCCGCGCATTTCTCGACCAGCTTAGATGCGTCCGGGTGTCCAAAGCTGTATATGTGCTTGCTATTTGAAGTGGCCGTGAGCACCTGGTTCATGATTCTTGGGTCTATGAGTATTGGATTCATAATTGATGAGTTCATTCTCGACGGGTCCATCATTGACGAGGCCATGACTGTCGTGTGAGGTAGTTTCGTGGTTTCGACCTTGGTTACAGAGATGCGTGTGAGAAGTGACCAAGCTTTTTGGAAACGAGAGATGAAGATGACCTCTTATATAACCCATAAGATTACAAAGCCCTCAAATTCCTTCATCTCGTAGGTGCTTAGCATAAAGATGGAATGTTCAGTGAATGCTCGTAAACAGCTCATCCTATCACGAGCCCACGAAGTTTAACTCGACAGCAACCGCTGAACAGTTGATGATTCATATTTTTTTCCTGCCTTTGTCTAATCAGTCACCAGTGAGTTAACTCTTGTGAAGGCTGATGTAGTACATACACGTTTACTTTCGGATTGGTGTATAGGTCTGCATCCTATGTGGCGGTTTACCCAGTCCATTCAAAAATTTCGTACGACCATGGACCGGGCCACAACACGTCAGAGGACAGAAATGCAACAGGTTTTCGAGAGACTTCTGATGGCAGCATATTTTGTCGAGATGCGCATGACCAACCCATACTATAACTGCTTTACCGCAATTCCATGAAGCATCACCAATGATAGCGATACAAAGATGCGTTACGCGATTCAGAATAGATAGTCTTTGAGCACGCGTAAACATGTTCAACCTGAGCTTGAACAGAGGGATCAACGAAAGATCGTGGACTCTGCGCGGCGGTAAGACCACCATTGAGAGAGGTTACCTTGACGGAAGCCTCACCTGCAGTAGCTGAAAGAGGCCACAGAGGCATAGCTCCCATTGGGCTGGTGTTGCTGTTGATGAGGACGGCATGTATGAATTTGGGACCAGTCTCATGATCCATTCGAAGCGAACAAGGTCGCCTGTTCAGTGGCTTTCGTCAAGGAGCACATGAACCTGGCAGCTATGAAGGCGGCGAATCGTAGGCTTGGTACTTTCTTCTATTTGATGCCGCCAGAAGATTCCTCCACATCCATTCTTGTAGGGTTCTCATGGGCTCATACATGTCGAGTACATGGCGCTGCCAGATTGCAATAGTCAAGCACTCACGACGTTGCGGCAGCATACAGTTACCTGCATCCAAAGTACAATCGATCCGGATGTGGGTATACAACACCATCACGCGGAGCAGACGAGGGCTCACATAGAGAAAGCGAAGCGCAACTGCGCTCTTGAACAATTGCTGGAGCAATGTCGATGGAGATCATGGGATGAAAGTCTAATGAGTACAGACGTGCCAAGGTCTGGATCTCAAAATCACAGTATACTGATATCTTCGGAGAGCTCTGGCGTAGAGGTTTGATGGCCAACATGAGTCTTCGAAGGTTCTCTCTGGAGAGCTCAGCTGGGGGTTTCTCTCGGGCCTTTCCTGGCCATGACTGAGTTCATTCTGAGTATGATGGCAGTGATAACGATGACAGGCACTCAAAGCCCTGCTGAGGGATGTGTAGTGTGGCGAGAAATTATGGTGCCGCTTGACAAGCGCTGCCCACAGATGTGTCCCACAAGCTAAACCTTGTTATCTGGGTATAGCTGTTGAATGAAGCGGCCAAAAGCAAATGAGACAAAATCAATTAATCAATACGAACGACTTGCGTCCGAGTGGGTCGGTTGACTGTCATCTTTGTACGGGTCGTAACATCTAGTCGGATCTTAAGTCCGCAGCGGCTTTTAACTCTTAGCTCCGTAAGGTAATCGAAGCATTCCACCTTACAGCGATGTAGTTTTTCTTCCCTTTCTTTCGTTATACTAAACGATTGGAATCAGTTCAAGTAATATCAAACGGCAATCTGGCAAGCGCAGCAATGGAGAGAGATCGCCCGAAAATAGTGTTGATCATTGGTGGAACTGGTAAAGTTGGCCGACAGCTCACCAAGCTCTTTGCGGCGACGTCAGTCCAGGTCTATCAAGCCTCCCGCAAAGGGTCGGCAACGACAGAGGCGGGCGCCGAGAACATCAAACCGATTGCCTTCGACTGGGACGATAAGAAGACATGGAACACGGTTCTGGAAGTTGGCGCGACGAGCGTATTCCTGGTGGCGCCACCAGGGGGTCCTTTGCCGCCGGTGGAGTTGTTCATTGATCAGGCGCGACTCAAGGGAAATGTGAAGCGATTCGTTCTGCTGAGCGGGAGTCCAGTCGAGCCGGATATCAATAGTCAGGGGATGGGTCGACCTCATGCCTATCTAAAGCAACTTGGTGAGAAGGGCGAAGCGGAATGGGCAGCGATCAGACCGACATGGTTCCAACGTAAGTGCGCGCCTAATCCTAGGTAGGATCTGGGGAAGTGCTATTGCTGATCACTGAACAGAGAACTTTGCGGAATTAGAAAACTACCGCGACTCTATTGTGAAAGAAGGTGTTATCTACTCTGCGACCGGGGACGGAAGGATTCCCTGGGTTGCGACAGAGGATATTGCTGCGTGTGCTTTCCAGCTACTTACCCAAAAGAGTGCTCCAAACGACGAGTATTTGATTCTTGGGCCCGAGCTACTCAGCTACGGCGATGTAAGTGCAGTTGTCTAATTAGACCTTCTCGCAGTAGTAGTAACGATGTTATACAGATCGCCGAGGTCCTTTCCAAAACTCTCGGCCGCGAGATCACGCACAAGAACCTCTTAGTTGACGACCTTGTGGATTACTATGTTCGACAAGGCCTACCTACGCATATTGCAGAGATGCTAGGCAACGCGGACTTGGCTATTAAAAACGGGAGTGAGGACCGGATGAACAGCGTTGTTGTCGAGTTGACAGGGAAACGCCCATCACGATTTAGTGACTTCGCGGAGAAGAATAAGAAGACCTGGGCGTCACAAGCCTGAAAGGTTTGTTGATCTAAATATGATCATCCAATATGAACAACCTGAGATGGATGATGATTGTACGCCAACCGTATCTGAAGGGAGATGCGAACTTTCCCCCGATTTCACGTATTGGCAGTGTACTGAAGTCGAGTTTCATGCAAAGAGCCATCGCTATCGAAGTGCTCCAAATTGGACTAGAGGATATCCGAAAGCCAAATAGACGTGAGGCAAATCTTCCCTTGTTCAATGCCTCTCTTGCTCTTCTTTAAAGCTCGTGTGCGCCGACTCCCTTAGTCTCTTCTTTCTCCATGACAAATATAGTAGTGTTTCCGCCACGCTCTATCCACTCCCAGTCGCCGATGACATATGCGTAGCCGAATTCAACGATTCCTCCCTGTCCGTTGATGGGAACTACACTGGCCGTCAAGTAAAAACGCGAGGCCAACGCGTAGGCATTGAAAACCAACTCTGATGTTGAATACGTAAGAAGACAGGTAATCAGGAAGCCCGCATCATACACATTCACATACCACGATTGATTCTGAGATAAGTGAAGAATTCTATTCCGGAGCTGCCTGGTCTAGGTAAACCAGCCAAAAGCAATAGTCGCATTACTCGCAATTACCAGTGTTCCCTGTGTTTCCCAAGTCGCGATAGTACCGTACTTTCCCAAGGCCGACGATGGTCTCCTGGCAGCTGATTCAAAAAAGCCCGTTGGTATCGCTGTCTCCTCCTTTAGAAAGCAGCGACTGTCGTTCCATCCACTTCTCTCTGCCGAACCAAAGGAGAAAAAGGAGATGGATGCTTGGACTTCCGGGAACCGAACTTTTCGCAGGAATGGGTCAGTGAATATGCTGGTTTATCAATCCACCCTCTATGGCACCTTTGCTCACAGTCTCCGCTAGGTAAGCATCGGCTGCCTCATCATGCTTCTCGGAGAACACGAAAGACGCGGACTCGAGGAGCAAGAGGCGCATCGGAATACCGAAGAACATGTACCAGCCGAGGTCAGATCGTGGACCCAGCCTTATGTCGTAGTCTATCTCGATCGGTGAGCCTAGCGGCAAGGGATCTTTTCGAGTGGCTTCGTCGCCCCTCAGCCGATTCTCAGCTCCACGGAGGAGTATTGATGCCACTTGATTAGGTCGGTCAGTATTCCAAACCATTACTATTAGGATTGGTGTGGTGATGTACTTTTCTCGAGATAGTGGTAGAGAACTTTCAGATCGTGGACGAAGTTGGTTCTCTCGCGTTCGCCTCCCATTGAGATTCTCTCATCGATAGCTCTCAACCCGGACAAGGGCTCAGGTCGATCACATTTCGTCTTAAGGTGCCTATCGAGCCAGGTCCTAAATGAACCCACAGATGGTCGACTATGATCCCCGCTAGGTGATAAGGGACTTCGCCAGGATACTTCACGATGAATTTGAACACTTTGTCGCATTCCTGAATCATTTTGGAGGGCTGGTCGGCTGAAATCACTAGGAGCCATGACTATCGTTTGGGATTTGGTAGTTTCGTTGCCGGGTACAGAGATGTTTTTGAAGAATAATGAGGCTATTTTGGAAAGAAGAATGGCATCTTTTATAATCCAGGATATTCTGCCACTCTTTGAGCATTCGTTGTGTCCCCGTAGTTATGACTCTGTTGATCATGAGTTCACGATCATTGAGCTTGATAGCATCACCACCGAACACTCCACGATTCATATTCATCTCCTTCTTTGTCTATACAACGATCTATAAGACCGCCCTACCAGAGGGAATGATTGATGAAATCCAAAAGTATTGATGATCCGGTTGAAGAGGGGGGGGGGGGACCACATGTAGCGGTATCCAAGACCTCTGTGCAACCACACGGTAAATTCACCAGTCTTTCGACACTCGCCTTCCGACGATAAATACGAAAACATTCATCCATTCACCACAACTCGAGCCCCTACCGCCACAGGATAGATATAGGCTTGAAAAAGAGGCAAAGTTCCCACACTCGCAAGTTCAACTGAGGCATTTCCCAAGATGATTGACAGGTGACGACGCCACGACTTTGACGGTGAATGACGGTCACAATGACTTCTATTCTTCTCATGATGAGGTGGTGTATCGAGAAGTCGAATGATGCCTGTAATGTGCTGCCCATGAGTAAACATCACTACAGGAATCACACAACGCTCTGAAGGCGTAAGATTTAGTGGATGAACATAGTCAATTGGTCCATGTACCCTTGATGACTGGATGGGAGACAGTAAGGAGGGAGAGCAGCAACTCGCGCATGTCTCTGAAGATGCCTTGCTGTACGACAAGCACGCACTTCCAACCACAACTCCTCGTCCCAAAGGCTTGGTCAGAAGTATGACAGAGGTGTGACGTACTGCTAGGAGCTGCCATGCTGAGCTTGGGTTATACCAAGTATATGTAAGACTTAGTAAGGCACTTCTTGAGAAACGAAAACAAGAGCACATAGCATGACAAAGATCACAGGGAGCATATTGAAGACAGTATAGTGTAGTACCCAACATATGGATTACAGATCATATACAGAGCTACATATCTACGTAAAAGACTCCTGGATCCTTTATCCGTTCTGTTTTTATCCAAAAATCGACTTCAATTTCTTCCATTACATCTGATCATCTGTAATTCGTACATGACATGTTTGCTAGATAAACCATTGACATAGCGTGATACGCTTACAGACGGGAGCCGTGGATGACCTTGACGTCGACGGCGAGCTCACGGCCAGCATCGTTGAGGACAAGGACGCGGACGGAGCCACGGCCGGACTCGAAGGCGTTGTTGAGGCGGGACCAGAGGTCGGACTGGTCAATGACGGGCAGGCCCTGCTTGACGTCGCCGGTCTCGGTCATGGCAGTGACGTGACCATCGGAGAGGTCGAGGACGCGGTACTGCTTGAAGACGGGGCCGAGCATGGTCTGGACAACGACGCTGGGGGCGGGGTTGGCGATGAAGGAGGACTCCTCGTGGAGCTGCTTGGTGAAGAGGTCGACACCGAGGTAGCGGTACTGGCCGGTGGCGGCGGAGGTGGAGATCTTGATGACCTGGCAGGGACGGCCCTGGAGCATCAAGAAGTCGCCGAGGCGGATGTGGTGGCAGGGGATGGTGACGGTGTTGGGAATGCGAGGGGCACCGGAGCCAGAGCCGGAAGACTGGCGGCGGGGGGCGGAAGCGGCGCGAACCTCGGAGACTTCGTAACGGTCAGCATGACCATGATGATGATGGTGGTGATGATGGGGGTGAGCAATCTTGTCCGCCAGCTTGTGAAGGCCTTGACGGAAAGAATGGTAGTGGCCTGGTGGTGCGAGCACCCTTCAGTGTCGGTCCATAGATTGGGGGGACGAACGGCGCAACCAAAACACACACACAAAGCCCAACAAGCATTGGACGGACATACAAGCCAGCAAGCACACGCACGCACGCACAAAAGGGGGTCAAGCAGAGCACTGGGGAGGGGGATTTCTCGACTTACCATCCTCGTCGTAGTAACCCATCTTGGAAGACTTGTGTTGGGGCTTGGAGACGTGAGTAGGCTCGATGGTCTCTTCGGTAACCTTGATGGTTTCCTTGTACTGCTGAGGACGGGGGCGCTCAGATTCGACGGTGTACTCGTCGACGTGGGAGTGCTGGTGGTGGGAGTGGTGATCCGAGTGGTGGTCGGAGTGAGAGTGGTGGTGGTGGTGGTGGTGAGGAGCCGGGTAGGTCTCGACGGTGACTTCCTCCTTGTGGTAGGTAGGCTGGAAGCGTTGACGGTACTGGCGTTCGATTTTATCAATCGGGTTTACCAGGTGCTCGTGGTGACGGGTGTCGATCTCAACGCGAGTGTCGTGGTGGTGGATGCGAGTGTCGTGGAACTCTTGCTGAGTGGTGTATTGAGAGGGAGCAGGAGCAGGAGCGGGAGGGGCAGGGCTGGATAGAAGGAAAAGAAGAGAGAAGTCAGTTGATGTTTTGATGGGGGAGCTTGATGGGGAAGCTTTTTCGCTCCGGTTGACATATTTGACGTGACAAGTGGTTACTTGGCCAACATGGGACTAGGGGGCCCGGGAGGAGGCGTCCAGGGTCCATGACTGGCGGCTCGTAATGGGCAAGGAGGGAAATTTGGCGAAATACCGGGGCCCGAGCTGAAGCGGTCCCGAGCCGGGGTGCCCAGTGGGAGGAGAGGTAGGGGTGTGTGGAAAGGAGGATGGGTAGGTAGGTGAGAGACGGTTGCCAAGGGGAGGCGGAGGATGGGGGGAGATGGAGGAGAAGGGGCGGTGACCGGAGTGACGCGAGTGGGTATGTGTTGTTTTGAGGTTGCATGGGAAGAGGGAAGCGGGAGTGAGGGGGTTGGATGAATCGATCGATGCCATGCCATACATAAGCTGTGATGGGCACATCCGGCCGCAGGTAGAGAGAGGGTTGGGCAGAGAGAGAAAGAGAGAGAGGGATGGACAGATAGACAGAGAACAGATAGAGAAAGACCAAAACATACCGGTACTCCTCACGGTAGTTGTGGGACTCGTAGTGGACACCGGGACGGTGGTAGTGTTCTTCGATGCGGACCTCTTCTTCGTAGCGGTGCTCTTTCCGAGGGGGAAGAGGCTGCTGCTGCTGCGGCTTTTGCTGCTGCGGCGGCTGCGGCTTCGACTCGGCGATGGTGGTGAAGGAAGAGTATTGACTTTCCTCCCGTCCGGGCTTGTTGGGCTTCTTCTCAGGAAGTTTGATCTCAAGCTCTTGATGTGTCTGAGTGACTGTTTGGGTCTGGGTTTGTGTCTCACTCTCCTTGTAGGTGGAGGGAAAGACGCTAAAGGGGACGGGGACACGAGCTTCAAAATCCAGATTGGCGGCTCTGGGGGCGCAGAGAGGAGAATCTTCTAAGCGTTCCTGAAGTGAGGAAGGCAAAGAAGAGTATCCTCTTGCTTCGTTTTCCTAAAAAAACAAAGGGGAAGAAAAAGGTGGAAGAAGCCGGTCGTTCGAGTGACACGCGCTTCTGCTTTTCTCTTCTCTTTTGGATTTGGAGGAAAGGGGGTGTGCCGACAGAAGGGTAAAGTTGGGCAAAAAGGGCGATTGAAGCTTTGAAGATGGATGGAGAGGAGAGAAGAAGGAGGGAGAAGAGGGTCGTTGGAGATGTGCGATGCGGATTGGGTTTTGAAGACGGGGGGTTTGGGGGGTGATGGTTGGACCGAGCAGCAGAGCAAGCGGCGAGCGAATGCAGTCCTGCAGAAAACGAGGGTTGCGAAGGGTTGCCGGGGCAAGGGGTGAAATGTTGTGAGTGTGTGTCTGTTGTGTGTCTGACTGTCTGTTGTGTGTGTGAGTGTACGAGTGTGTCCTCTTGAGACTCTGGACTGGTATCTTGGATCCAAGTGGGACTGGAGACTGGGATCAGTGTCTTTGTGGGTGGATGGACGGCTGGGAGTGGATGCGGAGGAGGCGGGTTGGATGATCTGGATTGGACAGGATTAGATCGAGTGTGTCTCGTTTTCTGCGAGAAAGATATCAAAAGATGTGAGAGGAGAGGAGAGACCAGCCGAGAGTCTGTGTTCTGTCTGATGTGGGTTCAAGTTGTGATGGATGGTGTGCGAGGGTGAGAGATGAGGAAGATGCCTGCAGAATGGCAGAAATGGTAAGGTACGGATAATAGTGAGAAAGACGAGTAATTCCCAGCAAGAGAGGTGGTCAAAGTGCGCCGTGTGTTGTGAGGGAATGTTGACATTGGCTCCCGTCTCCTGCATCAAACCAGCAGTGGATATTCCGTTTGTTTATTCCGCCCCGAAGAGGACTAGTCTGGGGGATGGGAAGTGGACATTTGACATGGGGTGAACTTGGGAAGGAGAAGCTCGGAGCTGCAGCTCGAAGCTTTGACGCCCTGGAAATATGTACATTGGTACAAGCCACGACTACTGTATGTGCTTGCCTGCCATGAGCGCCTTGCATCTGAGGTGTCCAGGCCAACGGTACCCAAGTCAGGCACCAGTTTTGCTCCGGCGCAGCAGGTACCGGGCACCACTGCACACTTTGCCATTCTCCATTTCGATGGCGACCTGCCCGACTGTTTGAGGTGAGGTGGAAACGTACTTTACCGACCAGTACAACGCTACGTACCTGAGCTAATGGAAGGAACCTCGGATACGTACTCCGTACCCGCTGTCTCGTTCCTCCCGTCCTTCCTTTCCCATCTGATTCTGACTGCCCGTGCCCGCACATGTCGCTCACCTCACCTCAAAAAAGCTCTCTCTTCCGAGTCTCACCATTCAATCACTGCGCCTAATCACCGCAATTGTCAGCCCGACAACTTCGATATGGGGTCAATTGATTCAATGGCCCATCTTCATGCAAGTAATAACTATTCGAGTCATTCACATGTAATGGAATGTCATCCTACTGCATGCAAGATGCTGCCGACTCGATGGACCACCACAGCACCAAAGCTTCCACAGAGCAGAGCTCAGCTTCCCCACACCACGCACTACTGTGTAGGTACACATGCGCACCCACACATCTTTCCCTAGCGCTGCAAAGTGTGCCAGGCAATGTCGGCAGTAATCGCACCTCCAAGACGCCCGCTTGCGCAAGCTCCAGCAGTGGACCTGCCAGCATTGATTATGGACAACCGTCCTGGACAAGTTAGAGCTGCTGGCCCGACCGCCGCCGACCAGCTTCGTCCTCGGCTGCTCGTTTCTGGGTCCTTCCCTTCACACCAAGATTACAGGCGCCGTGGTCGATCAGCAACAGAATAACCCCAACTTTGCTGGCTGGGCTGGTACTGACAAAACACCCGAGGCTGGACCAGAGAAGAGGAAGAAACTGGGACCTTGTGGTGCCGGGAAGAGAGAACCCCGGATTCTCACAATCGGCCAGAATCTGCAAATTATTATGGTATACCATGGCCCACAGACATTCCCACTCAGGCGCCGTGATGGGCGCCACAAGTTCGAGAGGCGCCAGTCTATGGACTCATTGGCTGTGTTCTTGAGCATGAGGCGACGAGCAAACACTAACGATGGGCCGTGTCGAATGCCTCCATGCGTCCAGCTGCATTGCTGACGGCTGTCGCGAATTGCGCTGATGCTCACGACCTTACGAACTACGCTCTGTGTATGTCGCCTATCACATCTAGCAGCTTGTTGACACGCTCATTAAGTTACGGATACAACAAACAAAACACCGACTTGGGGGGCTGGGTACGAAGATCGTCGTTTCGCCCACGGCCCAAATGCCCGCTATCGACCGTCTGCATGGTCCGCATAGCCTGACCGCGGCAGCCCGGAAACTCAATTAGCCAGTCGTGGAGCTTCCCCAACCACTTTTCAGCTGCAATCGCCCTTCCCGGCCACTTGTTTCCAGGGTTCTCAGGCCGGCGGCTGCTGCTGAGGCCCTGCGAAAATCAGCAATTGACCACTTCTCAAGTTCTTACACCAATACGGGGGATCCAATACTGGGTCTCACACATCGTGGAACACCTCCATTGGACTGTCTGTCTGCAACCGCCGCACAACTCATGCAAGTCGACGGTCGCACATGCAAAACGAGGCTGGCTGGCGGCTTTGCTTTTTCCAGGGAGACCTACGACGTGGCCAAGGCAAAGTACCCTACCTGCGGTCCTGCCTACCTCACGGATCCCGCCCGCAGCGCCCGAGTGGGGCTTCAAACCATTGATGGATCTCAGCAGTCAAATTCCCCATTTCCCCTGGATCCATCAGAGAGTCATGGAGACGCTGCTCCGTCCCAGTTTTGCTCTCCCACGAGACTCTGGCACTCTACAACGGGAGAGGTTGGAGCTATTCATAATCACCAGCCTCCCCGTCCTTGGATCATCCCAATTGGCATCATATTGTCAATGGTTTCAAACCAAAGCCATCAAACCAGACGAACCGGTCGGGGCACACGGGCGGGAGCTCCCCTGCAAAGCACCTGGTTGCCGTGACGACTGACTGGCCCCGGCTCCCGCGCTAACTGTAATTGAGTACCCTTTCTTCGGCACTGGACGACCATCGCTCTCCGCCGCCGACGGGATCGAACAGAGGATAACAGATGTGATTATGTGGATGGATCACATGAAAGTCAAAAGAGCTTGGGAATATTTCTTGCTATTGGCGGTTAAACAACAGAGTCATGGGGCCGCTGTAGGGAGGATGCAGGAGATCGTCGCTTGAAGAGGCCAGAGATGGCAGTTGGTCAACGAATTTGAGGCCGAAACCTCGAAGTGAATGGCGATATCAGCCACGTCTCTGCGAAAGGCATAGCTGATATAGTCTACGGAGTATGCCGGCTGAATGTACATGGCACACATTCTTCCTCGTTGAAGGCCAAGACTGGTGAACAACGGCTTCGCTGCGCGGGTTGACGCATCTAGTAGAGCCCATGCACTGCCTGTGTTCAATTGTGATTTCGAGTTGCTTCAGAAAGTGATCGTCGACCTATAGATTTGAAGACCGCACTGGAAACTGCCATTATCAAGTACGCGCTTGAGCGGTTAGGCATGGGCATTATATCTGTCAAGCTATTGATACTACTTTGCAGTCCTTTTAAGCTGCTGAGCCGCACCACCTATAGAGTGGCATGTCATAGTGGCATGCTGCCAAAACCATCATCAAGTGTATTGTCTTGAATGATAGCCGTCCTTTGATGGAGGGGGTATAGCCTATTCCTTGATTCAAGGCTTTGTTGATTCAAGCATTAGGACCCATGTGGTTCTGAAGGATCCATCGAAGATTGGCAAGCCTTGGGCTAATTGTATGATTAATTCACTTACAACGTTTCGAGTGAAACTTCAGAGACAAAGACCTTGTTGCATCTTATTTGAGTTGGCATATGTCACCACGAACCGGTGGCACGGAGCTCTATTTTAGTATGACAGCTCTTCGTCTTTGCTTGAAGCTCGAAATGTGGCGCTAGAAGCTCGGTGTGCGTCATCACGGCCTGCTCGGGATGAGAGATGAGAAATCACAATGGGGCCAATTCCCACCAATGAAGCCTATAATCCTGATTGAAAGCGCCTGGTCTCTTATCATTTTAACAATAGTTACACAAGACTGAATACTATTTACATTTCCTGACAATTGGCAAAAAGACCCGATGAACGTGGAGTGAAGTCCTCGGTGACAAACCAAGCACGTGACGTCATCGTGGCGCATTCCACATTTTCGAAGCTCTTCAGCCACGAATGCCCCGCGATTATTCATTCACATCACGAATTCCTGCCCCTCACTGCCAACGTATTCAACTCTCCGCAACATCAAAGCCGCCACAAAAAGACTGGCGCGCTCGCTTTGTTAAACCGACCCTATACGAAACCTCTACGACTCGACTGCCGCAGACATGAAGCAGCGTTTCTCGTCCATCGACGTCAAAGTCATCGCCCACGAGCTCCAAGAGAGCCTGACGACCCTGCGACTCGCCAACGTCTACGACCTCTCCTCCAAGATCCTACTCCTCAAGTTCGCCAAGCCCGATAATAAGAAGCAGCTTATTATCGACTCTGGTTTCCGATGCCATCTTACAGACTTTACACGCACGACCGCCGCGGCGCCCTCGGCTTTTGTGGCGCGGTTGCGCAAGTTTCTGAAGACGAGGCGGTTGACGTCTGTTAAGCAGGTTGGAACGGACAGAATCTTGGAGTTTCAGTTTAGCGATGGCCAGTACCGTCTTTTCCTTGAGTTCTTTGCTGTAAGTGGCTTGATTTATCTACCTGCGACAAGAATCAACCACTGACTTTGTCTTTACGCAGAGCGGAAACGTCATCCTGACCGATGCCGACCTCAAGATCCTCACACTCCTGCGCAATGTCCCCGAAGGAGAGGGCCAGGAACCTCAACGAATCGGGTTGAACTACTCGTTAGACAACCGGCAGAACTTCAACGGCGTTCCCGATCTCACAAAGGAGAGAGTACGAGCGGCACTGGAGTCGTCAGTCAAGAAGAGCGCGACAGCTGTCTCTGCGGGGAAGAAGATCAAGACGAAGCCTGGTGACGAGTTGAGGAGGAGTTTGGCGACGACGATCACCGAATTACCGCCTATTCTCGTCGACCACGCATTCCAGATTACCAAGTTTGACGGCACCAAGAAACCCGCCGAGATTCTCGAGGAAGAATCGCTTCTGGATGCGCTTCTGAAGGCGTTGACCGAAGCCCGCAGTATTGTGGAAGTTGCCACTAGCTCTGCCACGGCCAAGGGCTACATTTTTGCAAAGTACCGATCGAAGCCGGACGGCGCGCCAGCAGCAGAGGGAGAGGAGGCGAAGAGATCGGATCTTCTCTACGACGACTTCCACCCTTTCTTGCCAAACAAGTTTGCAAACGACCCTACCGTCAAGGTCATCGAGTTTGATGGCTACAACAAGACTGTCGACGAGTTCTTTTCGTCTTTGGAGGGCCAGAAGCTGGAGTCAAGACTTACCGAGCGAGAGGCTGCGGCAAGGAGAAAGCTTGACGCAGCGCGAAACGACCAGGAGAAGCGTATTGAGGGTCTCCGGGAGGCGAAATCACTCAATGTCCAGAAGGCAACCGCGATCGAGGCAAACGTCGAGCGTGTGCAGGAGGCGATGGACGCTGTCAATGGACTGCTTCAGCAAGGCATGGATTGGGTTGATATCAGCAAGCTCATTGAGCGTGAACAGAAGCGCCGCAACCCAGTGGCTGAGATCATTAAGCTACCCCTGAAACTGGCGGATAACACGATTACCTTGCTGCTAGGAGAAGAGGAAGATATCGAAGACGACGAGTCCAACTACGAGACTGACTCTGATGCATCCGACAGTGACGGAGAGGATACCAGCAACAAGCAAAAGGCTGCAAAGCATCTGGAAGTTGAGATTGATATTACCCTGTCGCCATGGGCGAACTCTAGAGGATACCACGAGCAGAAGAGAAGTGCCGCCAAAAAGGAGGAGAAGACGGTTTTGCAGTCTCAGATTGCGTTGAAGAACGCCGAGCAGAAGATCCAGGCTGAGCTGAAGAAGGGCCTCAAGACGGAGAAGGCTGTTCTTGCGCCGATACGGAAACAGATCTGGTTCGAAAAGTTCACCTGGTTTGTCTCGTCTGACGGATACCTAGTTTTGGCAGGCAAGGATGCGCAGCAGAACGAGATGTTGTACAAGCGCTATCTCCGCAAGGGCGATGTCTACGTTCACGCGGATATGCATGGCGCCGCAACTGTCATCATCAAGAACACTCCCAGCGATCCCGGTGCGCCGATCCCCCCTTCGACGCTGGCGCAGGCAGGCACAATGGCCGTGTGCAGCTCGAGTGCGTGGGATTCAAAGGCAGGCATGGGCGCATGGTGGGTGAACGCCGACCAGGTTTCCAAGTCTGCTCCTACCGGAGAGTACCTTCCCACGGGAAGCTTCATGGTCCGGGGTCAGAAGAACTTCCTTCCCCCGGCCCAGCTTCTGCTCGGTCTCGGCATCATGTTCAAGATTAGCGAAGAGAGCAAGGCCAGGCATGTGAAGCACAGACTGTATGAGACCGCTGATGTCCCGGCTTCTGCGGCCGATAGCGCGGCGCCAGAGACTGCGACTGATGCTGCTCGAGCTGATGACGACGTTCCGGATGATGCCTCTGACATTGGCTCTGAGGACGAACAGGAGGATGAGAAGCCGCGCGACAACCCTCTGCAGAATCTTGGACAGAGTGGACAAGATGACTCAGAGGAGCAGCTTGCATCTGAAGAGCCCCCTGCCGAGGAGTTGTCAAACCTCAAGATTGAAGAGGACAAGCCTGCGGAACAGTCTGTGGAGGATGAAGCCGAGCCGGCAGAGAAGGAAGATGAGGACAACGAGGAAGAAGACGGGGATGACGACGAAGAAGAGAGCGACAAGGCAGCTACAGGACAAACATCAACCCCGGCAGAGCCGTACGGTGCACCAAGCACCGCCGCGACCGAGAAGCAACAACCAGCCAAACGAGGCCGACGTAATAAAGCCAAGAAGATTGCAGCCAAATACAAGGACCAAGACGAAGAGGACAGGGCAGCAGCCGAGGCCCTCTACGGCTCCGCGCGCGGCAAGCAACGAGCCGAAGCCGAGGCGCAGAGTAAAGCCGACCGCGAAGCCCAGCTGGCGTACCAAAAGGAACGTCGCCGCGCGCAGCATGAGAAGCAGCAAAAGGAGACTGCCGAGCACGAGGAGATTCGCAGGCTGATGAACGAGGAGGGCGTAGAGGTCCTGGACTCGGATGAGCTGAGCAAGATGACGCTGCTCGATTCACTGGTGGGTTGGCCTCTCCCCGGCGACGAGATTCTCGAGGCGATACCTGTTTGTGCGCCGTGGACCGCCATGGGCAAGTTCAAGTATAAAGCCAAGCTCCAGCCTGGGGCGGTGAAGAAGGGTAAGGCGGTGAAGGAGGTGTTTGAGCGGTGGAAGAGCGATTCGTCCAAGAAGGGTGCGCTCGACGAGCGGGCGCAGGATAAGGAGAAGATGTGGCCTAGGGAGGTGGAGCTTATGAAGGCGCTCAAGGCAGAGGAGAGTATTAATGTCGTGCCGGTTGGCAAAGTACGGGTTATGATGTCTGGTGGGAGTGGTGGTTCGGGGGCCAAGGGTCAGCAGGGCAAGGGAGGACGAGGCGGGAGGGGATCGAAGAAGAAGTAGAGACTGATGAGTTTTGAGGTTCGGCTGCGAAGACGTAGATCTAGGTATTCATTAATTATACCTGTAGAGGTATCCTCAGGTCTCTAGAGGAAATTTGAGAACACCAATGGCATCGATCCACGCGCTTCTTCTAGTCATTTCCGTCTGTCGATGAACCTCGCCCATCCACCACCCCCCATGTTATGAACCTATTTCTTTCCCCTCGCAATCTCAAAAGCCCTTAAGATGTCCAGCTTCTGATGCTCCGAAGTCCACTCAAAAACCCTCTCCCCACACCGATCAGCACGCACCTCCTCCTCCGTGGCCCAGACGAAATCGTCGTGCTCCTCGGGATCGATCTCAACCTTCACCTCCCCTGTCCCAGTGGTCTCAACTTCCACGAGGTAAGTATACTTTCTCCACGCATCTCGTCCCTTGAAGAACTTGTGCGAATCCTTCATCACCCCATCTCCCACACCCTCCGAAATCCCAGCATCATCAGACAGTCGTCCAACCTCGATGATCCCAACCCCACCCCTCGATAACCCCCACGCCTGGTCCCCAGCCACGGCCTGCGCTTCTTCACCGGCCCCGGCACCCTCCCATTGATAACATCCCACCAGCGCCGCGAATTTTACGGCGCGGAGGGCGGTTTCTTCCCAGAGTTCGCGGGCGGCGGAGGCGAGGGAGTTGGAGTCGAGGGATTCCGCTGCCCCGCCGGGGAGTTCCCATTTGTGGGGGAGGGCGGATTCTCTTGCGGAGCGTTGTAGGAGGAGGATTTTGGGGGTGGTTTGGGAGGAGGGGGAGAGGACTGCGGCGCCTACGCAGAGGCGGTGGGTGTGAAAGACCTCTTGGGGGTACGTTGACGATGATGGGGAGGTAGGTGGTGGTTTGTTGTAGGGGTGGAAGCGGAGGGTGTAGGGGAGGAGGGAGGGGGATGTTGTGTAGTTTAGAGGAGGTGTTGGCGCCGCGGGAGGCATTTTGGTGGATGAGTTCTGTTGCGGCTTTTGGAGTTTGGTTGATTTGAGGGAGCAAGGAGATAGGAAATGGGATTGATGCTTCGATGATGGCGACTTTGTAGAACGTGGGTGCCTGGATGGCGTCGTTACGTTTAGGTGCCTGGTTGTGGTGGTGCGGGTGCCTGGTGGTTGGAATGTCAGACGGAAGGCGAGGTGCAGGTGCACTGATGTTGGGACCCGTTCCGAGGACGGAGGCGGTGGCGCGGGGGATTGAGTCACTTTGCCGATGTGGGGCACGGGTTCGGCGCCGGCGGCCGGGTGTCAGGTGACTAGCCGGATTTGGCAAGTACTTCTTACAAGACACTGTGAGTTTGAATCACACTCCTTGGGTTTCTTGTGATGCTCCACGCGGCGATGAGACGAGTATACTTCCTGTGGGACTATCTACGTGACTGATGAACATATGCTAGCTAATGATGTCTCTAGTTGTGAGGTACTTGGAGTATGGTCTTGAACCATGTCCTTGGCCCATTCTCGGCGTATATTTGACCTCGACGTGTCAACTTCTTGATTCCTCAACATCTTAGAATTCTTAGAGAATGTTTAACGGCTAGAGAATGATCCTCCCGGCTGTCCTTATACGCCTCATGGTCCTCGTCGTCAACGTCCCCTTCGCGCTCGTCCCCATCGCTACCGTCCCCATCGCTATCGTCCTCGTCGCTGTCGTCATCGTCATCGTCGCTCTCATCATCTTCTTCCTCATCCTCATTATTCTCTTCATCATCGCCCTCCTCATGATCGCTCTCATCGCTTCCATACCCCTCCAAATCCACCCTACCCCCCCGCATCGCCTTCCACCGCTCCAAAACCCACAGCACAGCAATCGTCAACATCCCAACGATCATCCCAAAGAACGCCAACCCTCCGTACGCCACAGGTACATACTCCCAAACCACCAACTCCACCACCGCATCCCAAGCAGCCATAACACACAGATACATCATGGCCCGACTCAACACACTCCAACCCCAGAAGCGGAAACCATACCACAGTCTCCTGAGGCACTCATACTCCCCGTCCTTGGGTGCTGTCTGGGCATCGAGCTTCGTTTGCCAAATGTGCTCCACAAACGCGCCGTTTACTTCGCGGAGAACGAGCAGTAGGGAAGCGTAGTGTCCCCACGTCATTTGAAACTCCCCATCCTCGTTGGAAGGGGTTGCCGAGGCCGAGTCATACGCGGCAGAGAAGTCCTGTTTAGGCGCCCACGGGGCAAGGTATACAACCGCATTAATCCCCAAAGAGATGACCTCCCACGCAGCAATCCACTCCCTCCTCGGAATCCGTCGTCTCCTCTCGCGAAAGAAGTGTACCGATACAATAAACCACAGCACCACGGCATCAACCCAAATCGCAGTCACCGACTTTACCAACCCGGTGATCACCATATCCACGATATGTTGCTTCGCGTATGCGGAGATTGAGAAGAGGGCAAAGATCAAGGGATGGGGCGCGATCTCCGAAATCAAGACCAAGACTACCGTGGTGAAGAAGACGTAGCTTATAAAGGGTTTGATGAAGATGGAGGTGATGCTGTGGAGAACGATGTCGTCTAAGCAGCCGCAGATGAAGTTTTTCGCGCGTCGGGGGATGAGATTGGGGAGGGATTGGAAGTAGGTGTATACACCTCCCAGTTTGCCGGTCTCATTTTTGGATTCGTCCATTGTCGATGGTCTTTGTCGTTGATTTCTGGTTAGTGTCCGATTGATATTCGTAAGGGGGTTGAGGTTGACTTACGGTTAGATGATGCTGTTTCTAGTATCCTCTTGCAGATTGATGGTGAAGTACAATTAGATGACACTGCCGCTGAGTTTTTGTCGTTAGCTCTAGTGTATTCGATGGTTCATAAATTACAGCTGGGAAAAAGACCCACGGGAAACCTGATTTGACTTATAGCGTTGGCACTTTCCATCTCCGAAACGAAGATGATAGTCGCGAGGCACGGTGTCGGAGTAGAGTCATCGGAATGACCAACACGTCAACGGAGATACCTCAAGCGTTTTACGGTTCGAAGGCCATTTTGCTAGGGACTTTCCTTTTGTGCCCGGAGATCGCGTGCAATATGGCCTATCATAAGCATTGCCGTACACTAGAGGAGGAAGAACAGCGGCAATCGCGTTCTTCTCAGGCAACATCATCCAAACCAAGCAATGAATTTTGTTTCTTAACTGGCTCCCATGCTTCTCCGGAACTGTAGCAATTATGAGTATATCTGAGGGATACAACCGTCATGCCGTCAAGCTCACGTACGGACGATCTTGGTCCCGAAATTTCGTGATGGGACGAGGGAGGACGTCTATAAAGGCACATGCGCGACCTGGGGCGCCACCGACGACAGAACTCCAAGGTCAAGGTGCCTGCACGATTTCTTGTACCATGGATTCACGTATTCATGTTAGGAAATATCTAGAAATTAGGATTGTGACCGCGCGCAAAGATAAGAAATGGAAATCCAACGACAAGCAGAGAGAATAAGAGAAAGTTGCACCAGAATCTCAAGCCCTCCAACTTCATGTTACCGGATAACCTCTACCGGAGACCGATAGAGAAACAGGCTGCCGTCGATGATTCTATAGAGCCATTGACTTATTAACGATATCATGTTTACACAGGTGCTTAAAAGCAGCAGATCATCATAGCTCAGCGTATCTTGAGCTCCCTCCGTTCCCACCCGAAAAGGTCCGGACATACGTGTGTCCCACATTCTCCGAAACCGATCGTGAACATGCTCAATCTCTGCCAAGTCGACCCGCCATCAGTCGACACCAATCCCAGACAATGGAGTAGACCGTGTCTATTGAGACACGACCTAATGCAAAGGCAAAGAGCTCGAGACTCATCTAACAATTCATCTTGCGAAATGCCGTAGGATTCCCGTGCAATTTCGTCCAAGTCATTCAAATATGGCCACTGAACGATGGCTCTCTCAAGGCCTGGGCTGGTGTTCGCCCATGACATAGCCCTGGCAACATCTTTCTCTCGACTAGACATGGACCACAACGCTTTGAATCCGAAAGTCAGTCCCGTCACAAGGATGAACTCTATGGTGCCCTCATCTCGGTCGTCCATCAACTTGTAGATCCGCTCCTTCGTCATGGAAGCCCACTTGAAGGTGAACCCATCCGCATACCGAAGTGAAACTTGTACAGTAGGCACAAAACTCGCATACTGGCTCCCATGCAATTCGTAGCATGGAGCCCATGAGGAATTTAGCGATAACTCGGAGTCCCGTGAGACATGCCATCCCAGCCACGTCCAACTCTGCCCCCCAGCGCGTCTTTGCGGCCGAGACGAAGATGCTGGCATTTCCCAAATCAAAGCCGACGAAAATTCGCAATCATTTCCTATCCTTATTCCACAAAACAAGACAGATGTCCCCATGTGGACATGGTTGTAATGAGACTGACATCCTTGAAATGCGCGAAAGACGTCTGCCTCGAATGAAAGCTCCCGGGTTGCATAGCTTCCCGCGTGGGGAATAGAACCTAACTCATTTATACCATCCCATGCGGTCCCGTTCTCTGGGCAAAGGTGACTCGGCAAGCCTTCGATGTAGCTTTCTCCCTTATTTCCAATCTCCAAAAGGGCAAAGTGGTCGGTGAAGTACAGTCGCCTCGTTGATAAAGCTGCCTCCTGACAAGTCCAAGCTCTCGTATTCCACTTGGAGTGCTGGATCTGCTGCTCAACCCATTTTGCATCGGTGGGCGTTCGTCTGATGGTATGAGATCCGATTTGGAAAGTGTCAAGTACTTTTCGCAGTGTCTTCCCAACCCCAGGAAGACCGTAGTCCGGACATTGGCCTGCTGCAGCAACGATGGTGATGCAGGACCGGGCATAGATGAGGTTCATGTTGCAGATCTGGTCGTGGGCTTCTTTTGCACAATGTTGAGGGATACAATAGCGATCGACCCAAAGATACCGGAATCCTAGCGAAGCCGTTACAGTCTTTGCATCTTCGATGACTCGAGGCACGGATGCGGGCAGTTTGCGACCAAGCCTTGGACAATCGCTCTGTGCGGACCCCCAGACATAACTCAGGGTAGCGTACTCGACTGCATCGAAAGACCCGGCCGACGCAACGCAATCCTCGAGGTTGACAATTTCGTCCGTGAAGCAGTCTATGACACTCCACCCAGGTAGTCCCCGTCGAAACAATGCTTCCCAATTCTGACCTCCCTCTGATTTGAGATGATGCCGGCAAGCCTCGCGCGCCAAGGCAGACTTGATGGATAACAGGTCTGCTGACAGTTTGGGATCTGGCTGGCCGGGTTGGACCAACATGAAAGTGCGATCTATGCGATCTATGCGGAAGTTTCTGATGTATCTCGCCATACCACCGTCACGCGGACTTGGCTTACGCTGAGCTCCACTCGAAGAAAACACTTTGAAATGTGGACGAGCAAGTTTTTTGTCCTTCACTCGTAGATCATACTCTTTTCGCGAAGGGTGCAAATAATACACAAGGTAAGTATGCGACCATCCATATTTGAGTATGTTGAATATCTCGTAGCAAGGACAATCGGAGGCACTCTCGACGTGATCGACTTCAATGCCTACCATCTCGACCGCGTCGTTGTAATCACATAGTAGCAGCGCAAATGGGGAGTCTGGAGAATCTAGTCCGAGATAGTGCTTGTCGATGTCGTATAACGATTTGCCCACCACATCTTTGGCATGATGAATGAAGGAATCAAAGTTGATGAATGCACAGGCTGAGCAGACGTTGTTTTCACTCCGTAAGATGGAGATGGCGCTTTCCGACATTGCTGTCACTGGAAACATTCGAATTTGGTGAATTTGGTGATAGCGGTGGGTTGATGGCGAATAATTGGAACTTGGAACTGAGCTCGAAACGACGACCAACAGTGAGGCTGTTGGATTGCTGCCTTGGCCAAGCACCAATCATGTCGCAGATGACTTCACGCGAAGCCTGATCTAGCCCTTGAGAGCTTTGAGTGGTCCGTCCCATCGTGTCGAAATGGTGATTCGTGGAAAGGAACGTTTTGATCTTGATTTCGAAGCGTCAATTGATGTGCGAACGGTGTTCATCTGAGAACAATGAAGGCAACCATCAGTTGTCCGACGGCCCATCTTTGGACAAGAGGTCGATGGGCATAGCTGAAGCCTCGAAGGAAAGGATGCAGATCCGAATGCGAGCGAGAACTTGGTTGCTCAAGATCCAACCAACGAATCGAGGGACTAGAGAAGAATGGCCATTGTCGCTTCGCAAACCTGCATCGATGCAACCTTCCCCACCCCGCCCATCCTCCGTCAAGTCCGTCCGCAAGTCAACCAGGACGGCGGCTCGAGAGCCAGTCTGGCCCCTGCAGCAGCATGTTCGATCTGGGATGGGCCGCGGGCGGGACAGGCAACCTTGTCACATTGTTAGTTGTTGCGGCGCAGAGATTTCGCACCGACCAGGTAATTGGAGCTGAACGATCTATCCGTACCGTCAAGTTGCAGCTCCAGGGAAGGCCATAGATTGCTTGCCGTCTTGGCGAGGGGTCGAGCCTTTCCGTACCCACTGTGGGGGAAAGGAAAGAAGAAGGGAAAAGGCCTGGTTTGAAAACGATATTGAGGGCAAGCCACAAAGAGCAGGCCAGACCAACGGGCCCATAACGGATCACATTCAGACCTGTCCACCCAACTTGCATGTATTGGCGAAGTCAAGTAATTGACGCATGGGTGGCCTGAGCTGTCATTCCCTCCGTCATGCCCTCAAATAAAGCTCCAACGTGCTGTACTTTGGGGTTTCGCCAAGCTCCTGTTTGTGCGCCACGGCCGAGCGTTGGCTGATGGTGAATGACCAGTGCCTCGTACAACTGTAGCTGCAAGTTGCCTCCTTGTTCGTCGCATGATACAAGTTCAGGCTGAACCTGCGCTTTTAAAGATCGGGCCATCTCCCAGAACACTCGTCGACTTCTCGATGCTCGAGTGGCGCAGAGGCGACAACAAAAGAGTCTGACAGCATCAGAGCAAGCTCTGATCGGAACTGACAGAGACTGAAGCATCGAAGCGCAAGGCGGTGGCCGTTCTTTACTACGCACATCGTCCAATGACCGCAATGACGGGGCTTTCGACAGCAGATGAGCAGACAAGCGAGACGCTGTTGGCATCTGGTGGAACCGCTAGAACAACGTCTCTAGAAGAGCTCCAAGACAAAGAACACAAGGCTCATATCTCTATGGGCATCGGATCTGAGACACTTTCTGCGAGCAGACACGAGCTGCCAGCCGCTTTTGCGGCGCGAGAGGATGATGGCATCCCTGGTCAGGCATGGACCTCAAAAAAGCAATATGTGGCGCCCGACGGTCAACTCGTGCTCCCGCAACACGAGGAGCGAAACTCCGGGCTCTCTTCTCAACTTGCAGAAAACACAACAGAACCTGCCATTGCGCATTCAAATCAGCAACGAGTGATCGACTCAATGACGGACGCGACAGCATCGGCGCCAGCTAAGAAGGAGAAGCCGCCCAGGCTCGATCGGCTATCCGATGACCCCGCGGCGGCCAAGACAGACACTAGCGAACCCGTGGCAAGGACACAAGCAGCACCCGATGTGGTATCTGCCAACCGCAACGCATATGAGGCGAACCAACACCTGCCTCGCGATGTAATTCCTGCGCTGCGGTCGCCTTTGACGCATCCCAATGGCGTCCCGATTTTCCCAGATCTGTCGGCCGAGCAAGAGGTCACAGAATCGTCGGAAGCTGCAACGCAAGCCGAAAGCTCCATCGTGGCAGACAGTGACGACATGGCCTCGATTTTCGACGGCACAGAGTCGGATGGCGGATACGGAAGCGACAGTGCGACAAATGCCAGTACGTCCGTCACGTCATCAGTTCGAGATTATATGTACGAGAATGGGCGACGCTATCACCGCTTCCGAGAAGGACTGTACAACTTTCCCAACGACGAGGTGGAGCAGGAGCGTGAAGACATGAAGCATGCCATGGTGAAGCTCCTGTGCAATCAGAAGCTGCACTTTGCACCCATTGGCGAGTGGCCGCAGCAAATTCTGGACATCGGGACGGGGACAGGCGCCTGGGCTATTGAGAGTAAGTTGGGAGACTCTGTTTTTTTGGCAGAGTTGGTAAAGAGTTCGTGATGCTAACGACGATGTAGTGGGCGACCAGTTTGAGAGTGCAACAGTGCTGGGAGTCGATCTCAGCCCCATTCAACCGGACTGGGTACCGCCAAATGTCAAATTTGAGGTTGACGATGTGGAAAGTTCGTGGTTGTATCCGAGGAATCATTTCGATTATATCCATTCTCGACACACGGTTATGGCCATCAAGAATTGGAGGAACCTGTTCCACAGGGCATACGAGTAAGTCGCATGTCTACGACTTTTTAATGGCAGGCCTAATACGTTAATAGGCACCTGAAACCCGGCGGCTGGATCGAGTTGCAAGAGATCCATCACTTCCCGTCATCGGCATACAACGCCATGCCGCCCGCACACCCGGTGGCTCAGTATTGGAGTTTCGTTACCCAGGGACTCACGAGCCTCGGCATCGACTTTAATGCTGCCGCAGGTGACCGGCTGCCTAATATGATGCGCGAGGCCGGGTTCGTCAACGTGACGGAGAAGATTTTCCACGTACCGCTTGGTACGTGGCCGCGAAACAGGGTGCTCAAGACAGTAGGCATGTACTGGAGGACGATTCTTCTCGACGGACTGCAGGCGATTGCCCTCGGCCCACTGACCAGAGGGCTGCTGTGGACACCAGAGCAGATTGAAATGTTCCTCGTCAGCGTGCGGCGAGCGTATCACGATAATGCGGCGTTGATGTACATGCCATTGAGGATCATGTATGCGCAGAAGCCGGCGTATGGGGATTTCCCTAGGTATTCGTAGTGCACTGAGGAAGAGCTCCTAGGTATTAGTCCTAAGGCGGGTTTTGCTTCGAGATAGGGTCTGTGGCTTCGTGGAGGGCCATTAGCGTTCAGTATTGAGCGATTGTCTGTTCTGGAATTCTGCAAGCGGAGTGGGTTTGTGCGACTTTGACGAGTTTGGTGATGTGTAGGTTCGGTATGGTCGTCATTACGGACGTATCATGTATGGGTTTCTGCTTGGCGAGGGGATGTGAAGAGTGACGAGACGGTCGGCTAGAAGGTGCACATGGGTAGCCGCATCGTGGTCGAGTCTTGGCGACAAGAGGCGAGATTGCAAGAGGAGCATAGTTTTCGTGATGAGGTGACATGGGCGAGCGCTAGACAACGAGCTTCTGCGGTGTCTGATGGAAGGGGAATAGGATCAAGTAATGTGGTGCAAGCCGTGGCTTGGGAGGAGGAGAAAGGAGGGCGGAAGACGGGCGGCATTGGCTGATGGAGCACGTTGCCGTTGCATTGCAAGAAGACGACCAGGGATTTCAGGACGCCATTTCCCAGGTTCGGAACCTCGGGTACCCTCTCTCGTGCTTTTCAGCAGGGGGGAAAGGGATGGAACTTGCATGGAAGCCGTCAATGGTTCAGTTGTTAGGTTCCTTCCGAAAAAAAAACAGAGAGACATGTCCGTAGCGAGGGCAAGAACCACTTAATTCCCGCTGCAGTTGCTGGTTGAGACTCCACCTGACGGTAAGCCTCAAGGTATTGAACAAGTCCATTGGTCAATGGTTGGTCAGGTCTTTCCACGTTGTTGACGGGATGGAAAGACCGGGTTGTAATGGTGCTGTGCCGCACCTTCCCAACACTGTCAACTTGTCAAGCCCAATTGGAAAGTGCGCAGGACAGCCACGCTTGCCCAGTCACCGGTGTCGTGGAAGCCGCCCGTGGGAAGGTGCCCACCGCCTGTGTGGTAACGAGGCGGGGGATACCTACCTATGGTACTTCGGTAAGGTAGATGGAAGGGAAGGGACAGCCCGTTGTGGTGCACCCACACTGCAGGAAGTGAGTGACTGGCAACTGCACTCGTCTGCACCTTCCGTGCTTTCCCCTCCTTGCCTTCCTCCCCGACTCGACAAAGCTCAGGTGTCCCTGGTCAGTCTGCCATGCTGCCACCTGCCACGAGACGAGACGCCAGACGGGACCCGGGAGGATTGCCTTTCCTCCCTTTCCTAACCAGGAAACATCCCACACATCCCAGGCTGGCCGCCGCCTGCCATCGATCAACCGGTAACTTGACATCTGACCACGGCAACTATGCGACAAAATGTGACCAGTCTCTTTCCCGTTTCTTCCTCTCACGTCTGTTCCGAACACACGCCGGTCAATTGACGAACTGGTTCCCAAATCAACGGCACTGCAGAATTCCCCGTTTGACGGCGGGCGGGATTCGTCAACGAATTGATACGACGCTGCCACCGGTCAAACTACCTCACCTTACCTCCCGTCACAGTCCTTACTGCGTAGGGTCCTCAACGGCAACCACCGCTTTTGTCTGCCCTGTCCCATTTGGTTTCAATTTACCCGTTCGACTCCCGGCCGGACCCCTGTCCGTCTCGCTGATCCCACTTCTCAGTCATCAGTCATCAGTCCTCACACGGCTTCGGTCTCGGTCGACATTCAGCTCTGAACGGAGAGCTCATCATGACATTTGTCGGCGATGCCAATTCAGAACTGCTTCGCCACGGGGGCTTAACAGCCATGCAGCTTAGCTTGGGGGAAGCTTGGGACCCTGAGCGATCGTCGATGGCTCCGCGCCGGCGCATGGCCTTCGTCCGAACAGACTCTTCTAGCCGCCAGCCACTCCCAAGCTTAAAAAGCCCGGCGAGTCGAGGACAAGGAGAGACTTGGACGCAAAAGGCACGCAACGCAGACGGCAATCCCAGCCCATGGCGTCGGATCCCAAAGCATGGACCGCCGCTAGCTAATGAGGTGTCGTCGCAATACTGAGCGATTCAGCGCCCATCCCAATTCCTGTTCCGTCCAAGGCCCACGCTCGGTGAACCAAGAGTTCCATCCTCGCTGTTTCGTTCCATTTGTGTCTGGCTCTCTACCTTGGTCTCTACCTCCCGTCAGTACCGTACCTCTTTGCCTCTGCCTCTGCCCATCTACCAAGTAGTACTCTGGGTCCCCTACCTTACCTTACCTTCCCAGTACCCATCGCCCAATGCCGTCCGTCGTATTAAACTGGGATGTATCCCTCCTTGCCGCCCCCTTGGGTCCCTCTGGTGTTTTGATGAGAGTTTTCGATTGTTTCCCCCCAAACTTCTCGGCGCTCACAAACTCATCGCCGCAAACTCACTGCAAACTTGTTTACCAGACAAACCGATTAGACCTCGATTTCCCGTGTCCGTACTGCACAGTCATTGGCGAACTTGGTATAAAGCCGTCACCGTTTCTTTTGCATGCCAGCTGGCCCTGATTTGTGTCAGTCGAGACCGAGTCCGTGTCCTCGGGTCCCTCTGTGTCACAATCGTTCCGAGCGTCGCCGCAACCCTGTCTGTCACCTCTATCCGCGAATTTGTCGCCCAACCTATTTCAGAGGATCGCGGGAATCGACTCCCGTGTAGTTCTGAGGCATTTGGAAGGTGTGTACAAATGCCTTTCTTACCATCTTCTTCCCTCATATCGAATGCATCTCCAAAGTAGCCTCCCGAATAGTCCTTTGCCCCCATATCTTGTTGCCCCGCAGCTTCATCGTCTGGCGCGTCCCTTCACGATGTACCTGCCTTAGCCCAATCTAGCTCAATCTCAAGCTCGAGCACAGATGGCTAATGAAGGCGGAGTCTGCGATCAACGATGCTAGTGCTCCTGTATCTCAAGCGGGTGAACCGCCCCCTTTCCTGGCGCGTGCAATTCCCTTCACCCATGCTAACTAGAAAAGCACAAAGTCCTCGCGACACCCGCAGACCATCAACATCTTTGTTCTGACTGCCACCGCAAAGATGAACAAATTCAAGTTTAGCAACTGGCTGGGTACCAGCCCGTCACCCACCGCCGCAGAGGTTGAGCAGAAGAAGCAAAACCGACGATCATTCACCCCATTCATTACTCGTTCTGCCGCCAAACCCAGAGACGATGTCCCCAATGGAGCGCCGATTGCAAAGCCCACACCTGTCGCCTCGGAGAAGCCTACGTACACGCCGTCGAGGTTAACGGAGCTTGCTAAGAAGATTGCATCCGAAACAGAGAAGCTGGAGAGGTACATGCAAGAGAACAATCTTCCAATGCCTTCCTTGGATCCAAATGGCCCCAGCGACTTTCCCAAGCTTCCCGAGGACATCCAAAAGAGTCGTATGGAGATTATCTTTGCGACGAGAGAGCTCGAAGCATTGGCTCACGGCCCAAGAGAGGACGTTCGGTGGAAGACGTGGAGTGTGAGTAGAGAGGTCTGGAAAATGGTAAAGGTCGTAAGCTGACTAGTTGGGCAGTTTCAAGACAGTCTGAGCCTTCAGCTTGTCAACCACTTCGGCATCGGTAAGCCCAAGACTGCGGAGCTGGGAGGTTTCTCTACCGTACCCGAGACTAACATTTCCTAGCCAAGCTCGTACCCATCGACGGCACTATCACACTGGCAGAGCTCCAAACCAAGACGACACTGGATCCCGTTAACCTTGCCCGTGTACTGCGTCATGTCATGACAAACCGTATCTTCCGCGAGCCGTCCCATGGAGTGATTGCGCATACCGCGGCATCACGCCTCCTGGCCGAAGATCAAGCTCTTCAGGATTGGGTGGGCTACAACCTCGAGGACAACTTCCCAGCGTCTGCGCACGTTTTGCAGGCTCTTAAGGCCTACCCAGAAGCCACGTCCCTCACACGAACCGGCTTTAACTTTGCATTCGACACGGTAGACAAGGAGCCAATGTTTGTCACTTTTGGCAAGGACCCTCCTCGCGCCAAGCGATTCGGTGGTGCCATGCTTAGCTTGACGGGCGGAGAGGGCTACGAGGTCAGACATCTCGTCGACTCGTACGATTTCGAAGAGATTGACGCCAGGGGAGGAACCATGGTCGACATTGGCGGTAGCCATGGGTTCGTGTCGATCGACCTGGCCAAGAAGTGGAAGAACATGAAGTTTGTGGTTCAGGACCTCCCCAAGACTGTGGATTCGGCGCCAAGCCCGTTGTGTGATGACGCTCAGGTTGCAGAGCGTGTTCAGCTCATGGCGCACGACTTTTTCAAGGAGCAGACCGTCAAAGATGCCGATGGTGAGTTCTTTGTCTCTATCTTTTCCCAGGATTGCATTGTGGGGAACGCCCCAAGTCTAACTGAGCCGCACAAACAGTCTACTTTTTCCGCTGGATCATGCACAATTACTCGACGCCCTACGCCATTTCCATCCTCAAGAACCTCGTCCCGGCACTGAAACCAGGCGCCAGAGTAGTCATCAAGGACCACTGCCTCCGCGAGGCTGGACAGGAGACGCCCTGGGACGAGCGCATCATCCGCAGCATGGACATGGTGATGCTGGCGGTGCTCAACGCACAGGAGCGCAACGAGGACGAGTACCGCGAGCTCTTTAGTGCCGCGGACGAGCGGTTCGTGTTCAAGGGCGTGATGAGGCCCCCGGGCTGCAGGATGAGCATCATTGAAGCGGTGTGGGCTCCCGAGGCGGAGAGCGAGGGCGATGGCGAAGGTGGCAGGATTGAGGCAGATGCCCAGACGGACGCGGGGTCTGCTGACTCTGCTGTTGTTGTGGAGGTGAAGTGATTGCGATTGCGATGCGATTGCGATACGATGCGATTGCGATACGATGCGATTGCGATACGATGCGATTGCGATACGATGCAGTGTATTTCTACCTTACCTTTGCCCGGATGCGCGGGCCTCCCCTCCTGTGTGCGATACCCAGTTCGTTTGTTAGATTTGTTTGTTTAGATTTCTCTTTCTGTCACAAAGATCCTCGATATGATCGATTTCGGGGATCTAATTATAATGCCTGCACAAACAAACAAAAAAGCAATATGCGAGATCCTTTGTCTACCAAGTAGTGTTTGTGTTGTATTGCTTGTCGAGGGGATCGGAGGATCGGACCCCACATCGTGGGGCAGCTTCCACTCCTTCGGAGAGCAGAGCCCCCACCAGAACGAGGTACATAAACTGTTTGCTGCGCTTTCTTTGTCATCAGTCAGCGTTGGCCTGCTGGCGAAATGGCATCGCGTCACATTTCGGCTTCTGTCTTAGTCATACTGTGAAGATTGTAGGTTCGATCCCTACGTAGGTCGCTAGAATTTCATTTTTGCATTTTCCGTGGTTTATCATGAGGTCGGTATTTAGTTGAGGATAGCGATTTGAACATGTTTATTTCGATTTTGGAGTACTCCAATTCATGGTCTGGGTAACATCCGATCCTTTGAACTCAAATTTGGGATGCAATGAAACTAAGCCCACCAAGTACCCTGCACCACCACCACCACCACCACCACCACCTTACTTATTCATGCCTTCCAATACTTCTCCAGCATCTCCCTCGCAGTCAAAGGCTTAATCTCAGGAAACAACTCATTCAACGACCCCTTCCCGCCCTCAACCTTTCCCAACCCAGTCGCCATCCACAGCTCAAAAATCGACAGGAACCACTGCAACCTCTCCTTGGGGAACTGCGCATACGACGCCTTGTGGCCGGGCAACTCTGAAATCTCAGACCTCTTCAACTTCTCCACGTCATCGTAGACCACATTGAACTTTTCACCCTTGATTTCTTCCGCAAGTCTGACGAATTCGTTAAAGGTGAGTTCGTCGCCCACGATGCGGAGTTCGTGGTCTGCGGGCCAGGTGGGCAGGTCCAGCGCCGCGACGACGTAGCGCGCCACGTCAAAGGTGTATGTGAATGTCACGGGGGTGTTGCCGTCGCCTGGGATCGCGGCGGCGGCGTGGGCGATGTCGAGAACGATTGTGCTGTGCGGGTGGTGGGATTTGAGAGCGGGGGGAGCAAAGTATTCTAAGAACGTGCCGTTGTGGACGGCGGCGTATTCGAGGTTTGTGTTGGATAGGGCGCGGAGGGAGGTGAAGTAGTGTTCTAGGGGCGGGAGGAGGGCGACGCCGCTGTGATGGTTTGTTAGTTCACCGTTACGAAAGCACGATGTTTGATGAGTAAGCTCACTCTTCAGGATACCGCATCGCGAACGAGCTGGGGATGAACCGCTTCGTCGCGGACGACAGGTCGGCCGCCTTGATGAGGTTCAGCTGCGACGTCGCGAGGGATGTGGCGGTGATGCCGAACGCGCTGATGACGGTGTGAATGTCGTGTTCTTCGAGGAACGCCTTGAGAGCGTCGACATTGGAGTAGTCTACCTCGAACGTCGGTGCCAGGGGAGCCTCCTCTGGATTGGGGGCCTTGCGGGAGAGGATGAAGGCTTGGTGTTTTGTCTGCGTGGCTAGAACTTCGATGAGAGTGCGGCCTACGGCGCCGGTGCCGCCTGCGATTGCGACGTTGACCATTGTTGCGAGTTTGGTGGCGCTTGGAGGAGTGTATGGGTTTATGGAGCTGTTATGAGGTCTTTGGGGGAGTTGGTGATGTTAGACTTATATCTCGAGAGAGTGCCTCGGTCTTCTTTGCGGTGACATTATCATGGCATGATCTCGAATATGTAAATCAGTGATCTGCTCACGGTGTTAACGGACGTAAAGCACGTTTGACGTAGTTTGCTGACATTTCCCCAGAATCGTCGGTTATAAGACGTGTTGAGCACCCCGTTGACGATTTGACTCCATTTTCTCGGCGGCCGCGGACAGCTTGAATACATTTGTTTTCGCGGGCGGCGTTGAGGGGCGTTTCTTTTGGTCCGGTTGGCTCTTTGCTGTGAGCCCGAGCCCGGGTCCGATCTGACGGAATTGTGGGCATGTTGTTTCGCCGAAAACCTGCCTATTCTGGGTGCGAGCGGGCGGGATGTGGGCGGCTTAGGAGAGCCGCTTTTAAACTACCTGCCATGTTTTGGAAATGGATGATGTGTGTGATTGAGAAAATGACGATAATTGAATTTTGGAGTTTCTAGAATATTGAAAGGCTTCGAGGATGGGGGACGGAATTGCTTCAGGTGATTGCTACCGACTCTTTTTTCCTAAACGGCCCTTAGAAACGAGGGGTAAGGAAAGAGAAGAGGCTCTATCTTCCCTTTCCTTCCTGCCACAAGCGTCGAGAGGAATGCGTTTAAGAGATTGTGAAGAAGCCATAGGTACGATCTCAACTTCCTCGGCCACAGTGATCCCACGCTTTTGGTTCGGTTCCTCCAAGGCCAGACTCCCTTCTTCTTTGGTCTCGTTCGGTACACGTAAGGTAAGTAGAGGGACATAGAGCGGAGGGATAGAACTCTTGGCACGGGGTGCCTTCCCCTCCCCTACTCTGATTCTTCTCTTCTTCGCGGTAGCTTTGTTCGGCGTGTAGTCGAGCCCCTTCAACGCGGAGCGTTAGGTGACGACTTTCAATACCTCAAATCAGCTGCAATTACGTCCACACTGGGTCTGAGCTGCTTCTACATATCTAAGCTTGGGGGAATGTAGATCAAGCAGTTCCCGACAAGTAAGCACTAGAGACGATAGTATCATTACTTAAGTATGATCACGGTCACAAGCACATGGTTCCTGATAGTGAAACGCAATGGTCCTTTTCTCTGATATAAAGGCAGGCCCTCAAAACCAGAACCTGACCCTCACCGGCCAGGCTCCGGCTCCGAGAGCCCGCAAACACGCAAACACCCCCCTTTCCCCTCCCCTCCCCCTTCCTTCCCCTCCTCCCCCTAGTATCCATCGCGCAGACACCTCCCCGACGATACCTAGCTAGCTGTAATAGCTGCTAGGTATCGCCGGTGGTGTCTGCAGGGAATAGGCCGAGGCCCAGGACAAGAAGGCCATGGTAGTGGTGGTGGCGGCGGTGGTGTGACGAAGCCTCTTAAGCACCGAGGCGCTCCTTGACGGCGGTGGCGGCAATCTCCCAGAAGATTCTCTCCATCCGACCGTCGTCGGTCAAGTCCTCCGGATCGAGGATCTCGTCGAGATCGAAGGGCTCGAGGAGGTAGGGACCGTAGTCCTTGTCCGAGTCGCGATGGAAGATGATCCGAACCGAGAGGATCGCCTTATCGTCCTCCTCTTTGTTTCCATCCGGCTCCGTAGCGACGACCATCTCATCCGACTGAGTCTCGTACACCTTCTGCACCTCGAGACGGAAGGTCTCCTCGACCATCTCCTCGGCATTCTCACGGTCGTAGTCGACAAAGACGCGGTTGGTGCCGACGTTGTAGTTTACAACGTAGTTGTTGCTGTCGCCCTTCCACTCATTCTCAAGGCCACGGAAGATCACGGTGATCTGGTTGATGTCGGGGTACTTGAGCTGGCTCACGTCGATGCTGGCGACGGGCTTCTTGTTGAGGAAGTTGTGGTAGAGAAGCGGGTAGTCGTGTCCGTCGGTCCAACCGCGGAAATCTTCCATCACGATGCGCACCATCTTGAGCTGTGAGTTGATTTCGTGTCCAAGGTTGGGATTGATGAAGCTGGGATAGAAGGCGGGGCCGGGAATGTCGGTCTTGTAGCCAAGAGAGACCTCATCAGTACGGGGGTTGATGTAAATGCAATCGACACCGGGCAGAAGGAAAGCCGCCTCGGCAAACTCGTAGTCCTGCATATCGACAGGGTCAATGATATCAGGATGGTAGACAATGGGATCGTTGGGATGCTTGTCAATGCGAGTGTAGGCCTTGAGAAAGGCGTGGAAGGCCTCCTTGTTGACGAAGGCAAAGGCAGGGTAGCCAGGGCGGCGCGCATGGGCGTCCGCGTTCGGACCGATACCGACAAGCTGGCCAGAAGACTCGGCGACCATCTCCTAGATGACCGAACGGACTGCAAGCGGGAGGCGGTGGAGGCTGGTAGCGCTGGGAGTGGTGTCGGACGAGTTGTCGGCAGCCAAGGGGGAAGACGTGATCTCAATGACGGCGTCGGAAGCGTTGTCGGCGATGGCAACGTTGGAAGAGCTGTCAACCGAAGGGGAAGACATGATCTCAATGACTGCATCAGGAGAGTCGCCGACGATGGCAATGTCGGAGGAGTTGTCAACGGAGGGAGAAGACACGACCGAGATGACACCGTCTGCCAAGTTGTTGGCGGTGGCCAAGTTGGGCGAGTTGCCAGTCGACGGAGAGGAAGCGATCTCAATGACGACATCAGAAAGGTTGTCGGGGATGGCCATGTTGGAAGTGTTGCCAATTGAAGGAGATGACATGTTCGGGATGACAGTATCCTCAAGGCTGTCGATGGTGGCGATGTTGGTTGAGATCTCAACCGCAGGGGAAGACATGGTCTCCATGATCACGTCAGATTGCTCATTGGTAGCGACCGCGTCAGACGAGTTGCCAACCATGGGAGAGGACTTGGCATCAATGGCAATGTCGGAGTGGTTGTCGAAGGTGACGTTGTTGGACGAAGTACCATCTGCAGGGGAAGACGCGGTCTCCATGACAGCGTCGGTAGGCTTGTCAGCGGCGACAGCGTTAGACGAGTTATTGGTCGAGAGAGAGGTCATGACGGCGTCAGTGGGCTTGTCCACAGACTTGTCGGCAGCAACGTTAGACGAATTGACAAGCGAGGGTGAAGACATGGTCTCAACGACGATGTCAGGAGGATCGTCGGTAGGGGGATTGTTGGACGCAAGGGAAGTTTGCTGAGCCATCGTCGATTGTTTGGTAGACTGTGATGATGGAAACTCTTGGTGTCCCTGAGGTGTGGGAAGGAAGAAATTTTTGGAAAGAAGGGAGCTCAGTGGGAACCCAGGAGTAGATTTCAAAAGATATCCCGAGGGATGTCACATGATCAATGTGCTTGCTTAGTCGTGATGGCCTCCCGTCTAGTATTGAGAAAGGTGCTTTGAAGCGGGAACTATCATCATCGTGAGTTTGGGCGGGCAGCTTTGTTGTGAGGTGCTCTCGCCCTTGATGTGGCGGTTGCTTGCTGATGAGGTTGTCGGGTGGGATGGCTCCTCGTCCGGCGTTCAGACGATCACTTGCAGACGGATTCATACCTTCTGACGAGAAGGTGTTCGGACGAGTGAGATCCGGTGCTGCTCTTGGCTATGGCTAAATAGAGTCATCCTCGACCAATCTCATCCTTGGTCTGGGAATAGCTTCGTCTGAGAGCAGCTTCGGTCCAGGCCCATACCCGAAATGAACTTATCAACACTAGATCATGCATTCATCTTCGCAAGATTTCTTCTAAAAGGCATGCTAGGTTGTTGTGAACTCGACAAAGAACCTCGAAAGACAGACTTGGGAGGGGATACTATGTCAATGAGGCAAAGCACTGACAAAGGAACGCAAACGATCCAAGGAAATTTCAAAGTCTTTGGAACCTTTTAGTATTTCTTACCCTTTGTAAACATATCCCTTCTCTGCCAGTTCTCTTACAGCCTCATATATTGGTAGTCGATCCAAGCGGAATTGGGAGTCATCGGTTGAGTGACACTGATGGTGGTGGGGTGAGCAATGGATGTAATATAATATGGGAGAACTTGGTAGAAGGCGTGTTGCTACATCTCAATGAGCAAACATGAAGGATTTCTCTTCGGCCTCAAATCGAATGGAGGATCTGACACCACGTTGGAAGACATATGCCAACCGGAAGAGAAGCAAAATTTGCAATCTCGTGTCGGCTTACGATCTGACCATGCTGACGACAGTTGGGAAAACATTTTAGGGTCTTATTCGACTGAGATAGGAACATACTTCCACAAGCTAGGTCAAGAGACGGCGTGATAGGTGAGTGACGGAGCAGAGCGAGAGTAGGAGCATAGAGGCATCTGCCCTCCTTTCCGGAGAGAGCCTCGATCTCGGCTCTGAAGCCTTGAAATACTGGACAAATTGATTTCAAAATGAGATTCTCCTAGTTTATCCATCAGATATAAAGTCAAGACCATTCATGCCGAAATCTCATAACGAGTGGGGGGAGTTGGTGGAGGAGGAGGAGGCGATCCTAAGGGGTTCACTTCTGGAGGAAATCGGGTCATCGTTCTCCCTGTAGCATCTACGTAGCCACGAAGTCACAAATAACGCAGGAGGATCCATGCCAGAAGAGATTCAATAGAAAAGAGCTTTGGAGTCCTCCCAGGACATGCTCAGTAGTAGTAATGTGAAGGCTTATCTACTAAAACACTGACTCTGAAAGTCCCTTGCGAGCACACACGTCTTACTTCCTAACAGACCAAAAGTATCCGAGAAGGCGTTCACGGCACCAATTACCCATAACTTTTGCCCAGGCGCATCAAGACATATTCCGTAGCAATCTTCCAAGCAAGGTGCATCTTGTGGAATCCATTAACGGGTAACTAGGCGTCAGTGACCCACTCGAGATTGCTGTCGCGAAAGATGTCGATTCGGATACCCAACCTCTCATTCGAGTCGACCCTAAAGTGATCGTCAGAAATACGATCGTCCGGCCGTATACCTCTGAAATACTTACTGGGTAGAGTTGAATCGCGATGACAATAAGGCTCGTTGGTTGGCAATACGTAGCGAAAATGAACTCCCATGCCACGCATCGACCATGCTGTCAGACCATGGTGCGTGATTATTGGTATTGGAATGCAAAGCAGAGAAACCAGGTGGATGACCTTGAGACATGGGAACTGAAGACTGGGAAGTGGAATGGGCCCCGCTGGGTAGGCAATGTTGAAAGAGCTGTAAGAATGGAGGTTTTCGTCTCTATCAAGTCTTCGGTTTAACATTCGCTGCAGGAAGCAGGTGTCGTGTAAACGCACTTTTCGAAGCCGCTTTTTGATATAGCCCGGGAACGTTGGCGATGTAGTTAAGTCCCCCAAGTCGCCAACTTTTTCACGCCAGTGAGGGCTGGCGAGCGCAAATCGGAAACCCCCTAGCCTGTCGACAATCGTACCGAGAATGAGGGTGTCAACAGCAGGATTGAGGTAGACATGGTCTTTGACAAGCCAAGCAAAGGAAGCATGCCCGTAGAGTCGCTGATCAGCCGAATGTACATGCCCAAGAAAATTTTGCGGCTTTCTCGATGAATAGCGGACATGGCGGACAGACGACTTCTTCGAGCAAGCTAGTCACTCGGGGGGCTACGACCACGAGTCGGTCTTCGAGGGCCTCGCGCCGTACTATGCGTCTGATTTCCTTCGGTAAAGTTTGAAGAGTTCGGACTCGACAAGTTCGGACATGATAAGCTGCTTTGAGTATTTTTTGCTGTGGTGCGTGATGATGTGGCGATGAGATAAATGGTAATATGAGTAGACAGGTATACTGGAGAGAAGAATAGCAACGACAGATGCTTGCGTTGAGAGCCACGAAGGAAAATATGAGCGCTGCCTCGCTTTCTCGTTGCTTTCACCCAACCTTTGATAAAAGACGACTGCCTGCATTGCCCAGGACATACTACCTTCTCATGTTCGGGGAGTTGTCTATCGCCGCTTCCTTGGATGCGAATAGCCACTTGCCGTACGTCTCTTTGACACTATCTAGACACCTGTCTTTCGCACCTTTTCCAATACGACATCACTTTGCATGAATGGCCAACAGAGTGATGAGGAAGAACGCCATTAAAGATCAAATGAGTTCAGGTTATAGAGATTCGAATATCTAATGAGGCTTTGACTTCAGGTCCATTGCGCGTCTGATAAAATTGCAAAGTGATGATGCGCTCCCAAAAATCCATGACCTGATCTCATAAACCGTGTACCACCCAGAAAACTTGCTGCAAATAACCAACTTTCGCAAGCAAAAAAAACCCAATTGGAACCAAAGAACTCCTTTTCCTGTACCAGGCAACTGCAAATGAACCATTTCAAGCACCGCCGTCGCGTCTCAACTTGGGACCAACGTTGACTCGCTTGCCGTACTTTCGTTTCTTCTGCTCAGGCTCCGATCCATCTTCATTGTCTTTGCCGGTTTCGCCGCCTTCCTCAGAGGCCTTGCGCTTTCTCGAAGCTGTATTCTCAGCTTCCTTCTTCACGGCGTCGCGCTTATCCTTTCGCTTGATGGCCATGTTGTGTTTTCCACTGTAGTAAAAGCGGGCAATTCTCGCGTAGCGACCACCTGGGTCGACTTCATTTCGTTGACTTTCGCTCCCCCAATCCCAGCGTTTGGCGATGCTCGACTCTGGAATGGAGTGCTCGACGAGGAACTCATTATCGAGCCACGGCATAAGGTCTCCGTACAAATTGAGGTCCCGAAGCAGTAATTTGGGATCCCAAAGGCGTTGCACTCCATGGTCCCAAGCCGAGCCAGTTGTTTTGAATATCAGGATCGTGATGTTCTGGAATCCCCGCAGGTTGTACAAAGTCGCGATGCGGATGGCCTTTTCCTTACTGTCGGTTGCCGAGAGGAACGGACTTAGTTCCCGACAGCGCCAGCGAAGGTGCTTGCGCAGGTGGATGTGTAAGAATATTGGATCGGTCCCTCGGCCCAATCTGGCTTTGATTCCTCCGTAAGGTTGATCGCCATGTATAGTTCGATATAGGTACTTTGGACGCTTCTCTGCATCCACGGTGGAGACTTTCTGCTCGATCGAAAGGAGTGCTGTGCCGTTGACGCAGCCACTGTTGCGAGAATGCTTCATGACGTCCAGAACTCCGGGAAACTGATTCTTGAGAACTTGCACGTACTCCGGCAAGGCCCGAAGGACCCATGGAACGTTGTTCGTAGTGTTCTTGGTGAGCCAAGCCTTGACTTCAGAGGATCCATTCTCTGCAATCTTCTCGATTATACGCTCGTAGCGAGCGACCACTATCTCTTTACCCGGCACATAGTCCATGATTGAGAAGAGAAGTAGCTACTCGAGCCTCATGTATGTGATATCCGAGCAAACGATTGCAATGTCAATGCTGTCAAAGATTGATATATGACTGTGCAAATTTGAAGAAAGAATAGGATGAAGAAAGTGAGGTGTTTGGAAGAGATGTTTTTGTCCAGAGGCTGAAGATGGTCTCTTAAACAGAGCCGTGGGAGAGAAAACTCCAAGGGGAAGGCGCCCAGTGGAATGGGAAGATAGGAAGGAAGTCAGTTGCAAGGGCAAGAGGAGGGGGGGATGAGAAGAACATTGACCTTCGATGTGCTCCTTCCCTGTCGATTCCGTGTTCAAAATCTTCATTCTCACTTGCAGGAAGGACCATGCCGTATCAGACCATGATATTTCTTTCGTGGCTTTGGTGACCTTGGTGACCTTTGGGTAACATTTTCCTGCAGGCGGCATGATACCGCATACTGCTGAGCATGAATTTCGCATTGGCTAATGCCCAAACATGGCTGAGGATCTCAATGATTGTGTCCCGAATATCTAGACGCGCGACCAGATGTAGACTGCTCTCATGCCCTGGTCACTCTGCCGGGATTCGGCTGGGTGGTAACAACTCTTTGACTTCGTTGTCCTTGGGCACCCATCATGGCCCATATGAGACCAGGTACACCTAGACATTTGTTATAGAGCAGGTATCCTACTCGCCCCAAAAGAGCGGTGATTTGGAAGGGAACGGCTGAGAAAGCTCCCATCTTCAAGTGACCGGGGGTGCTATTAGTGATGAGCATTGGCAGCATGACACTGACTCTCAAAAGCAGAAAGTCGAGGTGTAGCTTATGAAGTTTGGCGGAGAGATTTTGACATAATTAATCTTCATAAGACTATCCTTGAAAAACTTTGTCTCAAAAGTTCACACACTTTCAATAATAGGAACGATTTGGGTTACTTCTGAGTCTTCTATTTCTCATGTCCTATGGCATGAAACTCACACTCAAGATATCTAGGCAAACGCCGAACGGCTTACATCCCAGTCAGGTCTTAAAGACTTGCTGTCGAAGCTCATATCGAAGCTAGAAGTGTGGACGTAATCCGCCTGCCACTCAACATTCAGCGCAACACCCTCCGCAGCCTGACTCCAAACAGTTACAGCAATCGTGTTATCTCCGTTGTAGTTGAGAATACCAGTGGGGACAGGGAACTGAACCTGGTTGCCGATGTACGGGTTGAAGCGACCGTACTGGTATCCGTTGACGAACAGAAGTGCGCGAAGGCGGTTCGTATCATCAGTAGCTGCAGTAAGGCGGAACGAAATAGAGACATCGAGGCCGGCGGGAACATCGAGCGGGACAACGGTGCGGAAGACGCGGATGCCAGCGTCAGGAACGGAAAGAGATCCGTTAGCAGAGTCGAAGGACTCCCAGTCTGCGTCGGGATAGCCGGGCAGATGGGCACCAACGCGCTCGGCGTACAGACCTCCTTCGTTGATAGGACCGCGAACGGGGTCAATGAGGTCGTTACGGCCAGCGGTGCCGGCAATCTTCCACTCGGAGAACTTGTAGTTCGCGGCGTCGGGGCCGAGCAGAGTCGCGTTGGTGATACCGCGGGGCGCGAGCGCCGCCTCACGCAGGTCGTGGCCCGAGTTATCCATGATGACGACGAGGACATTGTCGCCGGTCTTGGAGAGAGTCGCGTTCTCAAAGGAGAACGAGCTGGCGTCTGCTCCCAGGTAGGAGAGGCCGAGGTAGGAGCCGACGTACTCGGAGTTGAGCCAGACGGAGTAGCCGAAGGCCAGACCGCCGGTGACGTTGAGGAAGACGCCAGTAGGGGCAGACTCGGAGGTTGGGAAGGTTGCGCGGTAGATGTGGTTTCCGACGTGGATGTCGTACTCGTCTACGTAGAGGACGGGGTTGTTTGAGGCGGGCTTGACGGTGTTGGAGGTGTTTGTCTTGGTGGCAGCTGGAAGTTTGTTAGACCATTTTCGCTCTTTAACGACACGAAAAGATGTAACAGGTATCACTTACCAACCCAGCTGTCAGAGGTGGCTTCGTAATCGGTAGCGATCTCAGGCAAGCTGTCGTGAACCTTCCAAGGGCCGAGTGCGGGGACCTCGAACTTGGCAGGGCCCTCGATCTTGGCGGTGAAGACGTTGCCCTCTCTCGAAAGGAGCTCAAGCTTCTTGCCGTTCCAGGTGATGCCGCAGATGGACTCGGAGGCAAAGACGGTGATGGTGGTCTCCTGGTCTGCGTCTCCAGAGAGCGCCAAGCTACGGCCAGTCTCGTTGAAGGCAGCGTGGCGGACGAGGTACGGTCCCTGAACAAAGACTGCACGAGTTTGTCAGTAAAATTGGAATCGATGCGTCAATAAACAAACTTACCAGTCTTGTTGGCCGGCGCAAAGGGGTCGTTGTCAAGCACGGGTACCCAGAAGAGGTACGCGGCGCTGCGGTCGAGCAGGACGGCGCGGGATCCATCTCCGAGGTCGACAAGCGTAATTCCCTTCTTCTGCGTGTATGCGATGGTGACGTTGCTCTCGCCAGGGTAGACGTTGAAGTCAGCGACGTTGCCATCGCCAATGAGCTTGGCAGAGTTGGCGCCAGTGACTGTGAACTCGCCAGCCTCGCCCTCAGGAAGCCAAAGGGCAATAACTTCTTGACCGTCGAGAATGGTGTAGCTGAGAACCTCGGCGGTGGAGTATAGGAGGGTCTTCTCGCCAAATCTGAAGTCGGTGACAAGGACCTTGGCTTGGTGGCCGTTGATGGCGATCGAGCTGCCGTGCTGGGGGATGCTGACTTGAGTCAAGTCAGCATTTGATACACAGAATTTGATGTTAGATAGAAGGAAGACTTACGAGCGCCCTGAGAGGTGTTGACAGAGAGCTTGAAAGCCTCGTTGGTGTTGGAAGGGGAGTATGCGTGACGGGCAATGTAGAACGCCGCGTTGTTGTCGACATTGCGGAGCTCAGACACGGTGATGGCTGAGTTGGTGGTGTATCCAGTGCCCTAGGGCACGTCAGAATCTCACTTTACTTGCATCACTGCTTCACTTACGTTTCCGACTCTCTCAGTCTTTGTCAGATCCTTGGCCACTACGCAAATGTTAGAATTCATCTTGCATCCTTCAGGGGCGAACAATCTACGAACCTCTGGTGAACAGAGTCAAAAGCTTTGTCTCGTGGAACTTGCTGCCGATGATTCTGTTCTCGGATACCGGAGAAGAGTAGTCGTAACTCGAAGCTGGCGTTGAATTAGCATGAGTCGATCTGACACATACCATACGATGGCGACATGGACTTACCAACAACGGGACAAGCGAGCCAGCCCCAATTGGTTCCACCGAACATCATGTAAAGGGAGATTGCGGTGACTCTCTGGTAGATGAGATCGCGGTAGAAGATGTTGGCGAAATCGGCACCAATGTCACTGGGGCAGCCGCCCTCGGGTCCGCCCCAGGGGTTGTAGGAACCGCCCTGGAACTCTGGAAGGAAGTTAGGTTGCGACCTGTAAGATGATTAGAATCCTGATTTGAGCGTGTTTCAACTTGGAATACTTACGGCGACTGAACTGTGAAGTAGGAGTAGTAATCTTGAGTCAGCTGTGAATGGGATGATTAGCAAGGTACAGTAGTTGTGGTGATTCTGAGTTACTCACGTAGGGGATGTATGCTCCGTTTGTGCCGGTGCATTCGCTCAGGTTGCAACTCCAGCATGAAGGGTAGCTGTCGACACCGACGACATCGACGTTTCCAGTAGCATTGGAAAAGTCTTTGGACCAGGAAAAGCCGCGCTGAGCAGTGTCAGAAAGTGGGAGTACATGAGTCTTTGAACAGAGATATTTACCATATTGGGGGCGTTGTGAGACAGGGGCACGTCGATTCCATTCTCCCGGGCGCTGTCCTGGAGAAGCTGCATGTAGTTGGCGATGGGCGGGTTCAGAACTCTCTTGGAAATGTCCTTCCACTGTCCGTTGAGTTCGTTCTCGATCTGTGTTTCCGCTTAGCAAATGCGCTCTCACTAGTTCTTGGGAATGATCGCGTACCTGGAACATGATGACGTTTCCGCCGTTGGTGATCAGATGAGGCTTGATGATCTTGGAAATCTCCGACCAGAAGGGGGTCCACGCCGCAGTGTATCTCTCGTCGTCGTTTCTCAGAGAACCGTAGGCGCCAGTGGTGGCCCAGAGAGGGAAGCCGCCGGCGTTGGTCTCGGCGTTGACGTAGGGTCCAGGTCTGATGATGAGGTAGATGCCGAGTTCCTTGGCGACGGTCATGATGGAGGTGAAGTTGTGAGCGCCAGTGTCAAAGTCCAAGACACCGGGCGTGGGATTGTGGTAGCCCCAGTGGTTGTAGATGGAGAATGCATTGAAGCTGTCATCTGCGTGTTAGCCACGAAATGACCTTTTCCACTCCAGAGACTGTATCTTACCCAGCCGCCTTGACCTTTTCGAGGAGATCTCGCCAAAGTTCGGGACTTGAAGATATGTCAGTAAGCTTAGTACACTGTAGATGATGTTGTGTTGGATCACGAACACAGGGATACGCCAGTAGTGGAACTGCATTTGTTAGCGAGACGATCCCAACATGCCATACGGGGAAGTAGTCAGTTGCCATACCTCGCCAGAGAAGACGAAGAGTCTCTCTCCGTTGACAATGTAGCTGTGGTGATCCCTGCGTAGATTTCAGTCAGTATGAGGCCAATGTTGTATCCTTTAACAAACTATGGGAACCTACCATTGGACAACTTCATTGAGACCGTTGTCATGAATCGGCCAGTCAACATCTTGAGCTAAGGCGCTCTGTGAGCCACAGAGCGACGCGGCAAGCCAAAGGAGGCCGCCGGCTTTCAGACCGAACCTCATCGTGGCGCTTTTTTGACTATGGCTGAAACTTGACAGATGCAACACGATAGCCGAAAAAAAGAGTTAAATAGCCAACAGCCAATCGAGAAACCGCGCGCGCAAGAGGAAGCCATCGCGTCTTCTTTAAAGGGCATCCTACTACCTTGCCAGTTCCCTACCAACACCG